GCTGGGCATCCAGAAGGTGCTTGGTAACCATTTGCTGCTGCTGTGATGATTGTCATCATTGCCACCACCTTCTTGTATCTTCTTCCTCTAGACCTTCTGCCCCCTGAGGTCTGCAGTCTGCTGAACCCAGCAGCCATCTACGCCAACAACGAGATCAGCTTGAGTGATGTTGAGGTCTATGGCTTTGACTACGACTACACACTGGCCCAGTATGCTGATGCCTTGCACCCTGAGATCTTCAGTGCTGCCCGGGACATCCTGATAGAGCACTACAAGGTGAAGCTGGACAGGCAGAGGGCCCACACCACCACCACACCCAGGCCCTGGAAGCAGGCTGGGCCCTGTACCTGCACACCCAAGGCCCAACTTGGCCCAACCCTAGGCTGGCTCATGGGGCCCCCTTGGTCTCCCAGCCTGACAGCTGCCCTGGCAGCCACCTGGCCTGGCAGTATCATTGGCTTGAGCCTGGCCTGTCTTCCCCCAGCAGTACCCAGAGGGGATTCGGAAGTATGACTACAACCCCAACTTTGCTATCCGTGGCCTCCACTATGACATCCAGAAGGTGAGTGGCAGGACCACTGACTCCCCCAGTCCCTCCTGACTGGATATGTACAGGGCATATGTCCTCAGCCCCCCACCTATCCTCGTAGTTTCATCAGCTGCCCACCTCCTTGGTTTCAAAGCTATAGCTGCTTCTGGATGTGCACACAGTCCCCTTGGTACTGTCTAATTGAGGCTTCAGTATGGGGGGTGGTTCAGGAGGCTAGTTCAGACCCAGTGGCAAAACTACCTCCTCACCACCTGTCCTGTTCCCCTGGTGCCCAGAGCCTTCTGATGAAGATTGATGCCTTCCATTATGTGCAGCTGGGGACAGCCTACAGGTTAGTGCTGAAGACACACACATACACACATGCCCTGCCCACTGCTCCAGCTGCACACTGTCCTGCCTCACTCACTCCCCGACCCTGTACTATAACCTGGGCTCAAGACTGCTTTGGGTTGATGATGTCTGCACCCATCCAGGGGCCTCCAGCCCGTGCCAGATGAGGAAGTGATCGACCTATACGGGGGCACCCAGCATATCCCACTATACCAGATGAGTGGCTTCTACGGCAAGGTACTCGCTCCACCTGCTGCAGCCACAGGCAGCCCATATCTGTGCTCTCACTGCAGACACAGTCCCGACCCCAGGCCTCTGGTCCCCAAAGCTGGGAGTGCCCAGGCTGAGGGATTCTGAGATGGTGGCCCCTCCCTAGGGTCCCTCCATCAAACAGTTCATGGACATCTTCTCGTTGCCGGAGATGGCGCTGCTCTCCTGCGTGGTGGACTACTTCCTAGGCCATGGCCTGGAGTTTGACCAGGCTCACCTCTACAAGGATGTGACGGTGAGGCTTCCGGGCCTGTCCCTGGGGATGGCAGGGATGTGAAACCTAGCTGTAGCAGGGCAGCCCCTGGGCCCTGCTGCACCTTCACAAACCCCCGCTGCCCCCAGGATGCTATCCGAGACGTGCACGTGAAGGGCCTCATGTACCAGTGGATCGAGCGGGACATGGGTAAGGGTGGACAGTAGCCCTGCCACACAGCCTGCCTGAGCTGGGGTAGTAGGCTCAGCCCTTACAGACTCATCTTGGCCCATTAGAGAAGTATATCCTAAGAGGAGACGAGACGTTTGCCGTCCTCAGCCGCCTGGTAGGCCACGGGAAGCAACTGTTCCTTATCACCAATAGCCCTTTCAGCTTCGTGTGAGTCCAGCCCCGCTGCAGGGGTGGGGGTGGGGGTGGGGGGCAGGCACAGAACTGCTTTCAGACCATCTGCCCCCTGCCCACCTCCCTACAGGGACAAGGGGATGAGGCACATGGTGGGCTCCGATTGGCGTCAACTCTTCGACGTGGTCATCGTCCAGGCAGACAAGCCCAGCTTTTTCACTGACCGGCGCAAGTATGGCCCTGGGCTTGGTTGGCGCAGCAGAGGCAGGGAGAGGGAAGGGAGGCCCCACCCCAGATGAGGGGACCAAGGAGAAGGCCAGCCTGGCCTTTGTGCTTGAGATGAAGACATCCCTTTGCTAGCTCTTGGCCCACTTAAGTAGGTGGGCCTTTATAGGGGCAAGGTGCCGGCCCTGCCATGTGCTAGAAACCAAGTCCTTGACTCTACTCCCAACCAGGCCTTTCAGAAAACTTGATGAAAAGGGCTCACTCCAGTGGGACCGTATTACCCGTCTGGAAAAAGGCAAGATCTATCGGCAGGTAAGAGCCATCTAGAGCCAGGGGTGGTATGCAGCTCCCCAGGCTATGTAGGGAGCAGCCTCTGAGGAAGCAGTACAGCCTCCTTGGCCCTGGCCAGCATCCCACATCTGCCTCCCATCCTGAGTCTACTGTGGGCCTGGATCCAGGGGTCACCAGAGAATAGCTGTCAGGGTGGAGGTCAGGGCAGTGGTCAAGAGCTTGGCCTCTGGATCAGACTGCCAGGATCTGAATCCCAATTCTGCTACTCACTAGCAGAGGGAGCCTGGCTGAGACACCTGCCTCTCTGTGCTTTGCCTTCCTCGTCTGCAAAAGAGGTGCATAATCCCCTCTCCTTGAGTTGTAGTGTGAGCCCTGAGAATGGCCCAGCAATCGCTATGTGCCCAATAAATGGCACTGTTAGTCGAGCCCGAACAAGCCTGACTGGGGCTCCTGAGCTGGGCTGCTGGGCAGCTCACAGGAGTGCTCTGGGAGACTTTTCTGGCTGCCTGGGGGATTAGGTAACTGTGAGTAGAAGTGATTAAGGCATTTGGCCCTGGATGGAATGCGGAAATCCTGGCTGAGCTGGTCTTTTTTGGGAATGGGGGTTCTGGAGGCCTGGGGTGGGGAGGTGGAAGAAGCCAGCAGTTGAGCCTGGAGGCAACCTCAGGATATACAGCAAAGAGGCTGGGCTGCACAGGTAGTCCCACCCCATCCACCTCTGACGACTGCTTAGCTCCCTCCCTGCTGCCCTGCTTGGGTGCAGGTCTTCCCCCTCCAGCTTTGAGGGGGACACTCTGCTGTGTTAGTATTCTTGGCTGTGGCTGAGGCTGATGCTTCTTTGTGGGAAATGTCTCCCTTGGCAGCTGTTAGGCTTTCCTTTATCCGAGATGTTCTAAAATTTCATATTTGTGTGCGTGTGTGTGTTGGGCAAAGTGCCATCTTTCTCTGCCCTGTCTTGGCTTTTGCTGCTAGAACCTCAGGATCCATCCTACCTGATTCACACCTGCCCATCAAGATTCTTGGCTTGGGGGATGTCCTTAGCATTTCTTCCACCTCGCCACTTCCTTCTTCAGCAAATCCATCTGCTCCTCAGCCTCACTACTTGAGCTTATTTCAACAAGTTCTGTTATACCTGTTCCCCCACCCCCCATGGTTTCTCTGAGGTTCTTGGATGCAGACTACTCTGTTAACTCCGTTTTGCCAGGTGTGAATTCTCCTCACTCTGAGGGGTGGGCTCCTGCCCCTGGTGGCCACTGTACTTCCTGTTCTGGACCCACATTTTATTTCTGCTTCCCTGCAAATTGTCTTTGAGCCTAGGTTGGTGTTTGAATCTTTTCTGTGCCTTTGGGGCAAGAAGGGCAGATGGCCTCACAATGAGGCCTGCCATTTATCAGCTGGGTCCCTCTGGGGTGGGCCAGGGAGCCGGGAAGAACTTGGGTCTGAGAGCCTCCTCCTCTTAGGGCCTCCGCTGCAGTATGTTTCCCACAAAGGGAGGACTCAAACCACTAACCTGGGCGAGTGTGAGACTATGGGGAGGGGAGGCCCTGGAGGCACAGGGCACTGTGCTAGCCCTGCAGGAACCTTCCGAGGGAAGCAGGGACCCCTCCTTGAGTGTGAGGGCTAAGTGTCAAGTCTTAGAGCATAGAGAAAGGACAGTGGGGTCATGGTAAAGGGTAGCCCAGCATCCAGCTGGAGCAGCTTCACTGCCTCTAGGGATTTGGGGGGCCTGGTGGAGGACAAGGCCTGGTTCCAGCAACCCCATAGGAGTCCCCTTGGCACACTTGGCTCAATGGTGTCCATCCTTCCCCCATCCCCACCCCCAGGGAAACCTGTTTGACTTTCTGCGCCTGACAGAATGGCGGGGCCCCCGTGTGCTCTACTTCGGTGACCACCTCTACAGTGACCTGGCGGTGAGGGGGAGCATGGCTGGTCCACAGGAGGAGGATGGGAATCCCTTCCAGCTGGCACTGAGCCCATCTTTACCCTCTCTACCACCAGGACCTCATGCTGCGGCATGGCTGGCGCACAGGCGCCATCATCCCCGAGCTGGAGCGGGAGATCCGCATCATCAACACAGAACAGTACATGCATTCGCTGACCTGGCAGCAGGCGCTTACAGGGCTGCTGGAGCGGATGCAGGTGCAGGGTGGGGGGAGCAGGGGGACACGCATGGGGAGGGACTGGGGCTGCCACTTCCTTGAGCACACACACCAAGCAAGCACACACTTTCCCCCAGACCTACCAGGACACGGAGTCACGGCAGGTGCTAGCCGCCTGGGTGAAGGAGCGCCAGGAGCTGAGGTGAGCCGGGTGGGGCCAGGGTAGGAGTCACAGCCCAGCCCCATCCCACACCCAGTTCCTTGCAGCACCCTTGTTTCTCCCTCACCAGGTGCGTCACCAAGGCATTGTTCAATCCTCAGTTTGGGAGCATCTTCCGTACCTTCCACAACCCCACCTACTTCTCACGACGCCTCGTGCGCTTCTCCGACCTCTACATGGCCTCCCTCAGCTGCCTGCTCAACTACCGTGTGGACTTCACCTTCTACCCACGCCGCACACCTCTGCAGCATGAGGCACCCCTCTGGATGGACCAACTCTGCACCGGCTGCATGAAGACGCCCTTCCTTGGTGATATGGCCCACATTCGCTGAGGGCACCTTTATTGTCCAGGACAGGCCCCCAGCCCTTCTGCCCCACCCACTCCGGGCATTTGTCCAGATAAGCAATAAAGGCTGTCACTCTCCTTCCTGCACATGCCTCTGCTCCAGCCCAGCTGCATCACTTGACTGCCAGGATCCTCTGGGTGTCTGGGAAGTCCTCCTCCAGGAGTGAATCCTGGGAAGGGAGGGCCATTTGTAGCTGAGCAGAGACCAGGCCTTGGACCCACTTCTACATTTCCCATGTCCCCCGTACACACTCACATCAAAGGGTTCACAAAAGTCATCGTGGCTGCCAAAGACAGGGTTGGGGACAGAGACCAGAGTTGGGCTAGTCCCCTCCTGCCATGGAGAAAAGTCATCATCAGCGTCATCTTCTGCCTGAAGCAGAGGGGGATGGTAAGTGGTGAGGGGCCTCAAGCAAGGTCAAAGGACCTGGCCTCCCCTAACCAGTCCCCAACTCAACCCTACCTGGAAGGTGGAGAAGCCAAAGCCCGTGGTCTTGCCTCGGGCACGGAGGTAGAAGGCTCCAGCCACCAGGCCAAGCAGCACTCCAGTGGCCACCACGGCCCCCACGCCTGCTGCCACAGGTCGGGCCTCACGTGCCACCACCGCCTGCTGCAGACGTCAAGAGAATATTAAAGACTTGGCCAGAGCTATCTCCTCATTCCTTACAGCTCAGCCTTTCCTGCCCACCCTACAGACTCACAGGTTGTGGCGGTGCCAGAAGGGGGCTGGCCAGAGTATGGATGATACCATTGAAGGCTATGATGTCCCACTGGATGACACTGCCAACCACAACTGCCCCAGGGACCTGCAGGAAGACCTGAGTCAGACCCAGCAGGTAAGGGAAGGCCAAAGCCAGCAGGGAAGGGACAGCAGGCAGACTCACCACAGGGGCCCAAGAACTATTGCCAAAGCCCACATCACTGATGACAAGCTTAAGGCCCGAGTGAGCAGGAAGCAAAGTCCCTTGGCTGGCGTTGACACTCAGGAAGGTGGCATTGGAGGCATGCAGCTCCAGGTCTGGGCCACTAAGTGTCTGTGGGCAAAGCAAGGCCTGTTGGCCTGAGCCAGCCAGAAGAAATAGAGTCTGGCCCTGTTCTACCCATGCCCCCTGCTACCATGTTGTCCAGAAAGCCTTCATTGACAGGGACAAAGAGTGTCTTGAAGGTGAGCTCATCATTCAGGAAGTCCAGGAAGTCGAGACCTCTTTGGGTGGTGTTGGCATAGCCCAACAGCATCTGGGAGGGTGAGAAGGCAGGGATGAGGGCAGGCTCCCTTCCCAGAAATGCAGCTACCCCATTGCCCCCACAGTCAAAGGCTGGGTCCCGGCACACCCCATAGAAAGTGGAGAAGTTTGCAGTGGTAGCCAATACGTCAAGTAGCTTCCCGTTGCACATGCTGGTCCCATCACCCACAAAGCCATCACGGCATTGGCATTCTACATCTGCAGGAAAGGTGGGAGTGGGTCATTGGATTGGTGGGAAGGGCCAGAGCTGGGGATGGGGCACTCCAGGGCAAATGTACCTTGAATGCGGTAGCAGTAGGCGTCCCAGCGCTCTGAAAGGTTTTGACGGGCACCCAGGCTGACTATGCCCACCTGGCCATCACCACAGTCTGGCGCAGGGAAAACGACGGGGTGGGCAGCTGAGCCATTGGCCAGCCAGCCCACAAGACACAGGTGAAAGCCCAGCTGCAAGGGCAGGAGGGAATACTGAGATGGAGGGTCCAACTCCAAGGGGCCCCACAGGTTCAGCTCCAGGCTCCTGCGCCCTACACACCTGTTGGGCAGCAGAGAGCTGAAGGAGAGAAGCCAGGACAGCTCCCTGGGACCCACATGCTGCCTCAGCCTCTGAAAAGGTCAGGCCATAAGAGCCACTGGTGGCCTGGAGGTGGAAGACCCCAGCCCGTTTCTCTGCGGAAGGGAGGGGTATGTGATCAGCTGGTGGGCACAGAGCGACAAAGCAGGGGCACAGGGAGCGGGCAGGGGAGCACACCCTGGAAGTGAAGGTCAGTGCACACAGCGTCTGCGTGACAGGGTCGGGGCTGGCCCAGGCAGCGGTCCACAGGTAGCTCGGGCTCCTCCAGACACTGAATCCCATCACCCACATAGCCAGTGTGGCACTTACAGCGCCGTGTGTTCTGCAGGAGGGGAGAGTGGATGGGTGCTCTTCAGGGTCTGGGAAGTGGGGCTATAGGACCTCCACCCCACCCTGGGCATTAGGCTTCCCTGCCTGCTCACCGGGCCGGTGCTCAGGCAGTCAGCATGCTCGTTGCAGCCCCCACGGTGGCCATCTTCACAGGGGTTGCGGGCCTGGCAGATCCAGCCATCACCCTCATAATCAGGCAGACAGGTGCAGATGACCACTGTGCCCATCTGGCTGCAGTTGGCATGCTCACTGCAGCCACCATGCCCATCCTGGCATAGGTCCACCACTGAGGGCAGGGAGGGAATGGTTTGACCAAGTGACCCAAGGAGAATGGGGGCACCCTCACCTCCACTTCCCCATCCAGTTGCTTACCTGTGCACACATGGCCATCCCCTTCATAGCCCAGGCTGCACTCGCAGCTGTTGCCCGCACGGCACACGGCCTGGGGAGCGCAGGGTGGGGTGCACGCAGGCTGCAGCTCTGTGCCCCAATGCCCAGCCCCAGACGGCCAGCTCAGTAGTTGCCCTCTTGGCCTTTCCCTCTCTCCCACCCTCAGAGCCTCCACCTGAGCCTGCAGTCAGGGCATGCACTAGGGTGTGCAAGTGTGTACAGTATGCAGGGTGGGACAGACCACTCACCCAGCTGCACCTCACAGCGTGGCCCAGTCCAGCCCTCATCACAGAAGCAGGTACCAGAACCCCCAAGGCCCTCATCACAGTGGCCATGGGAGGTGCAGTGGCAGGCTGAAAGAGGGGGAGATGGAGGTTGGTAGATGATGGGAGGACAGAGAATCAGAGAGCAAGGTGGGGCAGGGCAGGATAGGGATAGCCTACCTTGGCAATGGGGCCCAAAGGCACCTGGGGCACAGAGTTCACATGCTGTCCCAGTGAAACCCGTGTGGCACTTGCACTGCCCACTGCCGCTCATGCCATCCGAGCACACACCATGGTCACTACAAGGGTTGCTGGGGCCCCCAGGGCATGCTGGGGCATGAAGTGAAGGTGTCAGTGTGGGCCAGGGGCTGTCTCATCAGGACTCCCACACACTCCCAGCCCAGCCATGCTATCCATCCTCTATCCAATGGTAAGAAAACCCTCCAGAGTTTCTCACCCTGGAGAACATCCAGGACCCTGTCCCAGTGCACCCCACCAGGCCCTGCACTGTGTGCATACCCATCCTGCCTTTGTTGTTGTTGTTATGTGCCGTCGAGTCAGCTCTGACTCATAGCGACCCCTCCTTGGGTTTCCGAGGCAGTATCACTACGGAAGTAGGATTGCCCAACCTTCCTTCCGAGGAGTGGCTGGTGGGTTTGAACCGCCAGCCTTCTGGTTAGCAGTCAAGTGCCTTAGCCACTATGCTACCAGAGCATCCTGCCTTTAAAGCATCATAAAATCCACTGGCCCCCTAGATCTGTCCTAGCCTCTGACCACCCCAAGACTCTTCCTCAGGGACAATGATCAGAGCTGTGCCCTCAGCTGTTTTGGGGGTCAGTTGTCTATCCACAGTGTCTGAGCCTTCGTGATACTCACCTCGGCACTCACTGCCATAGTGACCGGGGCAGCAGCTGGGCTTCCAGGTGGTGGTGACACAGTTTCGGCGGCAACCCCTGCCCAGGCCCTGGGGATGGCCCCAGAGGCTGGGCCGTGCCCAGATGCTGCTCTGTGTCCAGGGGCGTAGTGAAAAGGGTGGCCGGAACTTTGTGTAGAAGTGCCAGCAGGCCTCGGGGGTGCCCTGGGCCAAGAAGAGTCAGGCTGCAGACAGCCAAGCTTAGGGGTCCTGGGTCTTGCCCAGCCCTCTCCAGCCCCCCATCCTCTCACCTGCTCCTTCCAGCCTTGAGGACAAGGTGGCTCCAGCCCACAGATGCTGCAGGCCTGGAAGGGATGGAGGCCCACACAGCAAGGTCAGATAGACAGGACAGGTGGCTGGATTCCCTGCTCATCCACTTGTGACCTAGGGCTTCCCTCACCTTCTGCACTAGCCTGGTCTCAAAGCGGTCACAGCGGGCACCAAGGCCTGGTGGCTCCAGCAGCTGGTCAATGCCATAGGCCAGGCCACCCTCAAAGGACAGATGCCGCTGCACAATGCGGGCATCATCCTCACCCACCATGAGCTCACCCTGCAGGGGGAAGATGTAGAGTATATGGGGGTCACAGATGCATTGCTGACCCTCACAACCAGGGCCCTGCCTCCCATCTCCCTCATCTAAACCACTGCCCAGACTCACAGGTCGGGTGCGGCTGCAGGAGAAGGAGATGGGGGTCCCATGCATGGTGCGGAGTGGGCCCAGGTTCGGCAGGTCGGATGCCAAAGCCTGAGCAGAGGGAGTCACACTTGGAACTGGGCAGGCAGGCTGGGCTACAGGCAGTAAGGACTTAGGTCTAAGGGTGCACTCACCTCAATGCTGTCAATCACATGGCCCCGCAGAATGCCTGCCAGCTTGTCACGATGAGCCTCATGGTACAGCCAGGCCTGGCGCTCAGGGGGCAGGGCTCGCAAGGCAGCATCTGTGGGCCACAGCATTGTGAAGGGCCTATGGGACACCTCTCGAAGCAAAGGCAAGAGGCCAGCCACCTAGTGGGATGGGGCAGAGGTGTTGAAGTCACAACCCAGCCAGAAATTGGTGGGCAGAGGCAGGGGGCTGCACAGTATAGACTGGGAATGAAGTAACAAGTACTCTGGGACCCAGGAATTCCACCAGTCACTCAGCTGTGGCCATCCTTGGCAGACGCAGAGGCACAGACATGGGCTTGCACACACCTTGACAATGTTGTCAGGTATGTGGGCACACATAAACATGCAAGGTGCTGACATTGGAAGGCTTATGCACACAAAATGTAACCTGTACACACACAAATGCACACAGATGTCCTTATGTAGGAGGTGGATTTGTACACAGAATGGTGTGCATGGCAGGTAAGCATACACTCTTGTCATATTGACAGACACCAAATACACACAAACACAGTCACATGCACACACTGACAAGTACGTACACACACTCACACACACACGGGAAGTACCGTCACGAGGCCGCTGAAGATCTTATAACCGAAGCTCTCAGCAGCGGCAGTGATGTTTCTCTGAGAAAGGCAACTATGAGCAAAGAGAGGTCCAGCAGGAAGCAGAGGGGGATCCAGTTTCTAGCCCATGCCCAAGCCATACCAGCGGGATTGGGGCAGCGTCAGGCCCCCAGTGTAGCGCATCGGGTGGCAGCAGGACACGGTCGATGAAGTGCAGGACACCGTTCACAGCTTCATGGTCGCTGCTCACCACTCGCGCAAAGTCATTGATATATATGCTGCCCTGGGGGCGGGGCACAGGGCTGAATGAAGCCCATTGATAGGGTGCCCGAGAGCTGTGGGTGGGGCCTGAGGCAGGGAGGAGCCAGCATTGGGTAAATCACGGGAGCGGTGGGTGAGTGGGTCTTGGAGTACAGCCACTCCGGGTTCAGAGTAATGGGTCTTAATGGGTCCAGCTCAGACCAAGACCAACTGGCCGGAGTCAAGGCAGAGAGCGGGGCTCCCTCCTTCTCCGAGCAGTTTAGGAACTACAGGTACTTGATCCAGGGACGGTGGTGGCAAAACAAAGAATAGGACCCAGGTTGTGCGAGTGGCCCAGGATAGGATTCACATTCCTCGCCCTGGCCCAGGTAAGGTGAAGGTACTTAAATTCAGGGGCGGGACTTGAGGGGGCGGAGTCCTGGCCCCAGAGGGGGCGAGTCCCAGTCAGCCCAGGCTCACCTCCCTTTCACTGAAGCGTAGCGAGTGCCCAGAGAGCGCAGTGACATACTCGGCATCCAGCAGCTCCTGGCTACGCAGCTGCCGGCAGCCGACCACGTGGTAACGGAACACAAGCTGGCGGTGTGCACGAATTCGGGCCAGTTCATCCTGAAATGGGAGTCGTGAGGGGAGTAGGCAGCTCTTTCTGGACTGCTTCCTCATTGTTACACAGTATGCACCACAGGAGTCCCCATCCTTCCCAGCCTCACTCAGTGGGTGTTACCAATGTCAGGTTTGTCATCAGATCTGAGTGAGGCACGAAGATTGTGAAAGGCCCATCGCCCTTGAGGTCTTTGTACTCCTGGATGAACCAAAACCAAACCAAATTAATTGCCATTGGGTCAATTCCTAGCAACGCTATAGAACAGAGTAGAACTGTCTCTTAGGGTTTCCAGGCTGCTTCATCATCCCACTCCCACCCCACCCCCTCCATCAGCTGGCGGGTCCCAACTTAACCACCAGGGCACCCCTCTCCTGGATAAGCAGGGGGAAAGCAGCTCAAGTGGAAGGGGAGCAAACTGAGACTAACTTGGGGCTTCCATGTATCTTCATAAAACACTTGGACTCTGAGAAAGCAGCCCAGCCAAACCTCTAACCTACAGAGGGACTGGCCTTCAGGTCACATAGGCCTGGACTGGACAGAGGGAGTCTGGATTCTCACCAGGAGGTAGAGGCTGAAGAATGAGGCATGCTTGTCCCGGAGGAGCTCCTGGGTGGGGGTGGGGTGGGGTAAGGATCAGCTCAGATTATGCTTGGCTGCCACTCAAGGCCAGGTGCCTATTCCAGCACCTTCAGCCCAAGCTCTGCTGGCCAAGGCAGAGACTAAGAAAGGAAAGTGGAGGGTGGTGAGAGGGTTCTGAGCTGGGATCAGGATTAGTTTCTCCAGGTCATAGCTGGGATCAGGCTCAGGTGGAGTCAGGGGTCAGGCTTAGAAGGTCATGGCCAGAGATCTTGGCCAAGATCATGGGTCATACCCATGGGGCATAGCCAAGGTCAGATTAGAGGTTAGATTTGGGCATCATTACCAGGCTGACTCGGGCACGGCAGGTAAATCCGTCACCCACTGTGTGGGCTGTGTCGCAGGTGCACGTCCTCTGGCCATCCCCTGTGCTTTTGCACACTGCATAGGGGCTACAGCCTCCATTTCGCTGAAGCAGGGATAGGAGAGGGAGGTATCAGTGGCTCCCAAGACTCTATCCCACCCAACCCTAGAAAAGGGGATATGCAAGTGCTTGGCCAACCCCCAGAACCTCATTTCTTATGGATCAGCCAGACTTTATGAGCTGAGGGGAGGTGACCCACTCTTCAGAGTCCTTTAGAACCCCACCGTGGATGAAGAGGGCTGGTTCCTCCCTCAGTCCCCTCTCCCCCATGAAATGAGGTAGGGCTGGGGGACTGACCTGGGAGCAGAGGTCCAGAGGCTCACAGGTACGGACACCATCCCCACTGTAACCCTCACGGCAGCTGCAGGAGACCTGTTCCCCAAACCCTCATCAGTCGGGCTGCCGGGAGCTAAGGGTTGGCCAGTGTTCAGGACAAAAAGGGCACCCCCTGCCCCAGGCCTGGTGTGAGGGGAGGTCCACCCTGTGGGGGACAGCACAATCCCAGAGTCCAACCCTGCCCCACTGACCTGCTGGGAGCCTGTGGGAATGCATTCGGCATGAATGTGGCAGCCCCCATGGTGAATGAGACAGCTGTTAACCTCTGGGGGGAAGAGACATTCGGGTGAGGAGTGGCCTAGACGGCCCCTCCATTCATCTCCCCATCTGAATGTCCAAGTGCTTATCCCCTACTCCCTCTGTTCCCTCAGTCCCCACACCTCTGTGTGCCCTGAGCCCTTCCTACTCAGACTCAGATCAGTGAGGCCAGACCTCCAGTCCCCACACACCAGTTTGGGAGTCCCAGCCTCACCCTGGCACAGCTCCCCATCGCCTGTGTAGCCTTCGTGGCAGGTACATGTCCGCTGTCCAGGTGCCACCTTGGTGCAGTTGGCATGGAGGGAGCAGCCCCCATGATCATAGGCACAGGGGTCCACCTCTTGGGGTAGAAGGACCCAGAGAGACATTAGGAACAGGCATGGGGTGGGGGAGGCCATGAGCAAGGGAGGAGGGCATGACAAAGAGGAAATGGCCAGAGGAGGGCAGGACCAGAGCTGGGACAGCAAATAGAGACTGGGACCTAGAGGTAATAGAAGCAGTCTGTGAGGACAGGCACCCCAGGGTTTCAGGGAGGGGCCCAGGGCATTCATGTGGCTGGACCTGAACAGTGGGTGCCGTTGCCTGAGTATCCTGCAGCGCAGACACAGACAGGGGCTTCAGCTGAGTCCTGAATGCAGCTGGGAGAGGTGGCAGTGGTTCAGCCTAGGCCTGCCCAGCCCCTGCCCTGATCCCATCTCACACACACACCCCACACACAACTCGTTCACTTGAGCCCACTCACTTGGCATTGGGGTCACATTCCTTTGGGCACTGAGGGCTGGTGATTTCTGGGGGGTAAGAGGATGGTTCTGGTCATTGAGACCAGGAACTGCCTTCCCAGGAGTCACTGCCACCTCTCCCTTGGGGCCTACTCACTCTGGTCACAGTGGAGGCCCTGCCAGCCCACATCACAAACACAGCTTCCGTCTCCACGTAGCCCCTCCTGGCACAGCCCATGGGCACAGTTACACACTGAGAGTGGGAATAGAAGGGACGGGAGTTATCCCAGTGTTCCTATTCTGCCCACTGCCAAGATCTCTCCACTCTGCTCTCCTCTGGCGGGATGCCCGTCTTTCCTGCCCCCTACCAGCCAGGACTTCTCCACAGGCCTCACCTCCAGCACAGCTGGCTCCGTAGCGGCCCAGCTCACACATCTCACAGGCTGTCCCGTGGAAGCCCTCCTGGCAGTGACACTCCCCACTGCCTAGCAGTCTGTCCTGGCACTTCCCATGGCCGGAGCACACACCACCCAGACCCCCCGGGCATGGCTCACACAGTGTGCCAAAGAAGCCGGGGCAACAGTCAGGCACCTGCACAGGAGGTGGGGAGGCTCCAGCACAGGCCAGGACTGGACATCAGGTGGTGGAGAGAACAGGGAGGAAGGGATAGCCACCTCGGGGCCAGTTGGGAGCCCAGACTTAGGGCCGTATAGACGTTGAGAGCAGGACAAACCATAGAGACTACCTCTACAACCCTCCCCATGACAAAGGTGAGGAAACTGAGGCCCAGGCAGGGACAGGCCAAGTCAGATCCCACAGAAAGAGGGAAGAACTGGGCCTGGGAGCCAGATGCTGCCTCTGATGCTTGAATGATGGTACCAGCTTTGGGCTGAGCCCCTTTCTCCCTCCCCTCAGCCCCTGGGGGTGGACACAGGGATAAGCACTAGACCCTCTGGACTCAAACCTCTGCATTCCCTCCCCTGCCTCTAGTACTGGCCTTACCAGTCTCACTCTAACCCCAGCCCTGCCTGTGTCCTTGAAACAGGGCTCCTCCCCTGGGCACCCCCATCCACTCCTTCAGTGTGGCCAAAGATTTTGGAGGGTTGTGGGGCTTCATGGCAAACCTCAATCTTCTTGGCACATGTGTAAGAACAGCCCCGGGAGAAGGATAAGCCAGAACGGTAGACACAGCTCTTCTTGGGAGTGTCCTGGGAATGAGGACAGGCAGGAGGGGTCAGCCAATGGCTTGGGCAGGGGCAGGGCATAGGGAAGCAGACAGACTACAGGTATCAGTGAATTGGACCAACTAGAAGGTTGACAAAGGGTCGAGGGGGAGTCTAAGACAGAGAGATTGATTGAGGGGAGAGCAAGCAGAGTACAAGCGTGATCTAAGGGGTCACAGCTGAAAGTCTGAGAGAGAACTCCTTTAAGCAGACCCAGGCCCAGGCCTCCAGGCCTCTAATGGTGATATCCAGCAGTCCACACCATTCCCTAGTTCCCCAGGCATGGGCCAAGCAGAGTGGGCCTGAGGGCTTGGACGGACACCTGGGAAACCTGCTGGACTGTGCTAAACCCAGCCACACCTGCAGCTGGTAGCCCTGGGTACATCGGAATTTCCGGGTGCAGTTGATGCATTTCTCCTGAGGGCAAGGAGGACAGAGCATCAGAAGGTCTAGAAATAAGGGCCCCAAACCCACCCTCCTTCCCCTGAGAGTTCTTCTATCTCTGACCAAACACCCCGTCCTCCCTGCCAGGCCTGCCAGTAGCTCCCAGCTCTTAACTCCTGGCACTTCTCTCCTCCAGCCCTAAGCCCTCACCCGCAGGGCCTCCGCATGACTGTGCAGGCAGCGGCTTGAGCCCACCGTCAGGACACCAGACAGGCCGAACAGTGAACGGCCCGGGGCTTCTAGCACTGTGCCTTCCAGTGGCACATGGTTCACCTCAGGCTGGAGTGGGGTAGGGGAGGAGATTGAGTGTCTCTTACACCCTACCCACCCACCACCCTCACCCCAGAGGCTATAAGGCCAGGGAGGCACTCTAGGCCCGGGAGTTATCTCCAGGAATAGGGGGACTTCCAGAAAGGGCAGGTCCCCTGGAGTAGAGGTTGGAGGCTTGTGGGTAGGGAAATTCCAAAGGGAAGTGGTCTCCAAAAGCAAGTTCTCTTGGGTGGGGTCTCCTTGTTCCCCCAAACCTGGCCACTGTGGTTGTAGAACACTAGCCAATGGGCGGGGCCCAGGAGGGAGTTGCGGTGTCCCCCTCTCCTCAAGTCTTCCACTGAGAGTGCCTCCCCCAAGACCACATGGTGTCGCACTGTGTCCACGTCCTGGTAGTGGAAGAAGGAGACAGCTGGGCAGCACATTCCAATGCTGAGCTGCTTTGCCCTGGGATGGGAGGCTCACCCTCCACACCATCACCCTACCCCCTGGCTGCCCGTGGCCTCACCAGGCTGCTGCCGTTACCCTGGGCCTCCAGGGATCGGTTTGTGGGCACAAAGATGGTGTAGGCAGGGGCAGCCTCAATCTGGGGCACTAGCCTGTGTTGCTAGGGATAAGAGGTAGGGGTCAGGGATGGGCATAGCTGCCCTCAATCCCAACCCTGGAAGCCACAGAGTGCCCCTGACCAGGTGGCCCCACTTGGCCTCCCGTACCTGCAACAGCTCCCTGAAGAGACTGAAGGCTGGCACAGAGCCCAGCTGCTGCAGTAACCCCTGCCCCTGCAGCTCATTGCCCAGGGGAGGCATTAAAACCTGGGGTGGAGCATGGAGGCTAGTCAGTGACTCCCTGCCCCTCAGCTGCCCTGCTGGGAGGTTCCCTATACACACACCCTCCCATACCTGGCTGAGGATGTGTAGGACACCATTGGTGGCAAGGAGGTCAGCCACATCCACGCTGGCGTTCTGCACCCAGACCCTCTGGAAGGCAGCGGGTATAATTCAGCCATAGGTGGGCTACTTAAGTGTGGGTGCAGCACTAACAGGCTGCTGGCACATGAGTACCCACTCATGTCACCCAGCCTGGCCTAGAAACACTCAAAGTCACTCAGGACCCACCAGATAGGAAAAGAGACCCTCAGCAGGGCCCCTCTGTGAGAGGGCGGTATGCACGTACCAACAAGGATGGACAGACACCCCCTGCCAGGGCAGTCACCTTGGGCCCAGAGACACACTGTCAAATGTGTCCTGAGCCCACTTCCCTGAGTTATACCCTGGTCAGAGTGATGGGACCCTGATCTCACATCCTGGGTCCCTGGTCTGGGGGCTCCCTCCCATGTGCTGCCTAGCCCCACTCTTCTGCCCAGAGTTCTCCACGTACCCCACTAATGTTGTGAATCTCCCAGCGTGTGGTAGGGTTCAGAGTGGCCACATCCTGCCCACCCAACTGGGCCAGCTGCTCCTCAGAGTGGGCACCCTGGAGAAAATGGGCCCTTTGGGGGCAGTTTAGGGGTGAGTTATGAAATGAGGTTAGTGTAACCTACAGAGACCCCTGGGACTGGGGCCCACCCCATGCCAGACTGAGGACCCAGTTCTCCCATTCCTCTAGGGAGGGACTGGTCCTGCATGGAAGACCCCCTTCCCCTGGCTTTTTTACCTGACCAGCTGTGGAAGCATCCTTGGCTGCAGCCAGAAGGCCTTGTCCTTAGGGCTCAAGCTGCGGATGGCAGACTCAGAGGGCACCAGGGCTGTGACGCGGCTGTCAGCGGGAAGGGTGATGCCGGCACTCTGGGAACCACAGCGTGCGGTGCGCCAGGAGGTATGATGAATGCAGCCACCATCTTAAAATCACCTGCCCCCAGCCTCTGGGCCTGCCCCCCACCTCTAACTCTTGGAGCTGTTATGTGGCACCCCTGCATCCAGGGAGGCCTCCTGGATTTGAGTCCCCAACCCCAACTTTCTGCCCTGTTCTACCTTGATCCACTGGGAGAAGGTGGAGAAGTGAGCGTTTGCCTCCAGCTCCTAAGGGGAGGGAAAGAACTGAGGTCATGGGCTGCTTCAAGCCTTCCTCCCCACCCAGGGCCCTGAGCACTGCCCCTTTCCTACCTGAGGTGTGGGAAAGGGTCCCTCCCCAAACACAGAGAACAGAAATGAGTCTAAGTACTGCTAACCTGCAAGATGTCTCCGTAGCAGCTGAATCCATCACCCCCATAACCAAGCGGGCACTTGCAGACCCGCTGACCTCCCCCTACTGCCCGGCAGGTGGCCTGTGGGTGGGGGTGGGGCAAAGAGACAGGGCCCTCCATTCAGCATCCATAAGGCCAACCCCACCCATCCTCCATCTCTCTGTTCACCCTTATCTCCCATCCCCCTGCCATCTGCCTGTCAACCCTCACCCATCCCCCACCCACCCAGTGTGAATTTCTGGGGCTCCTCTGGTGTGCTTGGCCCTGCTCTCCGACATCACTGAGCATCTGATGGGGGAATTACCCTATCCCATGATGGCAGGTGGGGCAGGGACAGGGCTGTGGGAGCACCCAGGAGGCACCGGCCCCACCTGGGAGACTGACCAGGAGGAGCTACCCAAGCTGAAGGTCTGGGACTAGACAGCTTTTTGGAGAATGTGAGAATGAGGGAGAGGTGGGGGAGGGTTAGGGTAGAGCAAGGTCAGGGGTCAGGAAGGAGCGCCAACTGGCCCAGAGAAGAATGTTGGGTAGGGCAAGGGGTGGGGGTGGGGAGTGGAGAGAGGAGGCTGGGCTGGGGGTGGGGGTGAGGGGTGGGGAGTGGGCTGGTTTTGTAGAGGCCACAGTCAGGGGATGGAGGCAGGAAGTGAAGGCTTTATCTTATGCGCAAGGGAGTGGCATAGTTAGATTGGGGTTTAGAAAGAGCCCCATCTTGAAAGGAGACAGAGACACCCAGAGAGAGAGCTGCAGCCTAGACCTACGCTTGATACCTCTCCCAGAGCTTCAAGCCTTTTTACCCCCTCACCAGGTCATGGCAGCCACCGTTGCCCAACCGGCAGGGGTCGATGGGGCTGCACAGGTAGCCATCTCCAGCAAAACCCAGCTTGCAGGTGCACCGGCTCTGGATAGGTGGGGAAGCAGAAGGTCTCATCTTACCTGAGCGTCCAAGCCTTCCCTACCCTACCTCTCATCTCTCCTGACACTGCCCCCTGGAGACCTGCCCACACCCAGAGAAGCTCCTCCCAGTCCCACCCTTGGAGAGCCATTGCCAGGTAGGGAAACTGAGGCCATGAAGGAGACTGGGTCTTGTGATCAGTGAAGGAAGTGGTGACACTGGCAGGGAAGCATCCACAGGGATTCAGTGCCCCTCTATTCAGGCTGGGGGTGGCATGTTCGACTTCCCTGCCTGGGCTGTCCAGGTCAACAGCTTGTGGCAAGCAGACGGTTTTCTGCCAAGGCCAGCCCCAGGGATGACAGCTCTGATCTCATCTCCACCCCTGCCACCTGGGTGGGCTGCTCTGCTCCCTCCTGCTTAATGCCAGAGTGCTCTTGGGCTTGTCCACATTGCCAGGGAAGTGACCTGTGAGACCCACCCCCGCAGTTCTCAGTTGCTCTTGTTGGCAGACTGGGAAGTCTACACCTGCTCATTCAAGTCCCTGGATTCTGGATTTTAAGGCTCCTCATTTTTTTGGAATGTGTTTCAGGAGCTCTGGTGGCGTAGTGGTTAAGGCATTTGGCTGCCAACCAAAAAGTTGGTCATTGGAACCTACCAGCCACTTCATGGGAGAGAGATGAGGCAATCTGCTTCCATAAAGATTTATAGCCTTGGAAACCCTATGGGGCTGGCTATGAATCAGAATCGACTCAATGGCAGTGAGTTTAGTTTGGAATGGGGTTCAGAGGCTCCAGCTCTCACATCCAACTGAGTTCTTACCGGCGTTAGGAAGACAGGAGGTCCCATGGGCCCCTGTGGAGCACTGAGCCACACAGAGGTTGACCCTGAACCAGTTAGGTTGGCCTCCCAATAGGTGTATTAGATATTTGTAATGCCTGTCAGCCTGCAGGTTCACCAAGCCTGACATGCTCCTCATGGAAGGCTCCAGGTTCTAAGGCCCTGTGACTAGATTCTGAGATTTCAGAGCTAGATTTCCGTGAGTCTAAAGATTATGGGATGTCACTCCCTGAGGGTAGGGTCTCCACCTGCTTTGCTCAGTGTTGCACTTCCTCAATCTAGAGCAGGAGCTCTGGTGGCATAGTGCCTAAGGCACTCGACTGCTAACCAGAAGCCTGGTGGTTCAAACCCACCAGCCACTCCTCAGAAGGAAGGTTGGGCAATCTGCTTCCGTAGTGATACCACCTGGGAAACCCAAGGAGGGGTCGCTATGAGTCAGGTCCGACTCAACGGCACATGACAACAGCAACAACAACAGTCTAGAGCAAGGACCAGCTATGACAAGTGCCTGGTGACATGTGGGGGAAAGACAAGTAAATGAATGAATCAATCCCAGATTGTGACTCAGTACTGCAGAACTGGATTCTCATTTATGTCTGAGCTTCAGGATCCTGAGCTTGAGTCCTTGGAGTGGATGTTCCTGGAATCCAGTGGGATAGGGAGAGGATGCCCAGGACTTGGATCCCCAGCCCACTCTGCCATCCTGGTCCTGCCTGCCTCACCTGCCCAGGGCCCACGTAGCTGCAGATGGCATCGGTGTGACAGCCGCCCCGTGTGTCCAGCTCACATTCGTCGATGGCCACACAGACCCGGCCATCCCCACTCCAGCCTTTGTGGCATGTGCAGTTGTGGGTACCTGAGGCCGCGGGGATGCACTCGGCCTAGGGGAGCCAAGGATAAATCACTCAGGGGCTCAGGGCCACTGGCAGAGGGAAGGAAGCTCCACCTCCCTTTCTTCCCTCCCCACCCCCCAAACTCTAGGTCCGGGAGATCCCCTAGGTCAGGGTTTCAGGCAGAGGCAACAAGACTGACATTCTCTGAGCAGCCACCACGGTCTGGGTGGGAACAGGGGTTGCTGGGAGTACAGGTGAAGCCATCACCCTCAAAGCCGTCAAGACAGAGACACCTGGGGTGGGGGAAAGAGGGACTCCAGACAACCTCTAGGAGAGGCTAGAGGCTAAGCAAGTTCATGGGTGGGGCAAAGAGGAAGAGGAAGGTCCCAAGCAAGGTCCTCACCTGGAGACACCCCTCTGGCTGACACAGCGGGCTTGCTGGTGGCAGTGCTGGGCTAGGCCCATGGGCCCACAGTCCTCCGTGGACTCATTGCAGAAGCGTCCACTGAAGCCAGGGGCACACGTGCCATGTTGACACACACCCCCACTGCCTGGACGGTTGTCACATAAACCATGGACACAACCACAGTCTGTAGAAAGGAGATGAGGCAGAGAAATTGAAGCAGGGTACAGGGTGCCTGGGAGCCAGGATGGGTCTGGGTGAGGCTGGGACTGGGGCAGTCAATATAGACTTGAGTTTAGGGTCATAAAATCAGAGGTCATCCCAGACCTAATGGGCAGACAGAAGAAATGTGAGGGGGACATCCTGTGCTTTCATTTACCCTCTTCTAGCTGCCTTGTGATCACATCATCATCAGAAAGTTCTTATATGTGTCTGACCTAAATTGTGCATGCTTTAGATTAAGTCATGCTCCTCTTCCTGTCATGGGTGAAGGAAACATCTGTTTCTATTTCCAAATCCTTCTCCATTTCCTCTGGCCTTATACCCTTCCCTTATTCCCCTTCTTGGGAGATCCAGCCCCATTTGCAACTCCCTTTCCAAGCAGATTTTGTTCCTCCAGAGGAGGCAGCCTGGGCACAGACCACCCACCTTCCTGGCACTGGTCTCCATGCTTCTTTGGGTTGGAGCAGATGTGGCAGGCAATGCCTTTGTAGTCTGGGAAGCAGAGGCAGGCCCCATTGCCCTGGACCCCATCACTGCACTGTGGGGTGGGCAGGAGATAGAGCAGTCATAGAGAAGGCACTGTCCACATCCATCCTCCCACACAGAATATCTCTGAGCTTTTGTTCTCCCTAAGACCTCAGCCTGAAAGGAACTTTCAAAATCACTGATGCTGCCAAAGAGCCAGCCTCCTAAAAGTCACCTGGCCCTGGAGGCCTCATGAGTGATTTCTGCTCAACCTAGAAGCACAGAGCTTCTGTGTCCTTCCATAGCCAGGTGCTGAGGTAACCCTGATATCACAATGTAGTAAAAACAGAATACAAAAGAAAACTATTGAAGAATAGCCCTTGTGAAAATAAATGCAAAAGTCTGATTAATTATTTCTAATTAAAATATTAGAAATAACTTGAGTTAGCTCCCGTAGCCTAGATGTGAAGAACCCAACACCAGAGAGAAGCAGGCTTGGCCTGGACACACGATTAGTCACTGGCCAACTCAGGAAGGAGTCCTTGTCTCTCCCACACGTCACCCGAAGGGAGGAAAGCACTCACGTTGCCTTTGCCATAGCAGGGGTTGGAGAAGCCCCCAGGACACTGTGCACAGTCAGGCCCAAAAAACCCTTTGCAGCATCCAGGTTTCTGTGAGAGACAGAGCATGTCTGAGGGGTGGGCCGTACCACCACCACTGCCTGGGCTGCTTCTGCTCCCTGGTCCCATCTCAGGGCAAGAGATTAGAAGAGACCCCTCCATACCCCATATCGCTCTGGGATTGGGCACTCATGCCCAGGGCTTACCATGATGGTCTGGTTGCAGTAGCGGGCACAGCCCTTCTTCAGGACATTGAGCCCAGTAGGGTCATGAATGTAGACACACTCCTTAAGCAAGATGTCCTGGGGGTGGGCCATGCCAAGCCTTCAGTCGGGGTGGGTGCTGGCCCCACCCCCTTCACCAGGCAGCCCTGGTTGAGGGCCTCAGCCTTCTGGGTCCAGCACCCACAACCCCAGTGGAGCTGAGATGTATTGAGCCTCCAGTTTTCTCCTAGCCTTCTGGCCCCTTCTCCCATAGTGACCAAGGGCAGAAACTTTGCTGGGCAGTCAGGGGTCAGGGAGCCCTGCAGGCTGGGCCCAGGGTGCTCACCAGTTCCATACTGTTTGGGGGGCATATGCTGGTGTTCAGGGCCTGGCAGTCCACACAGGAGCCCTGGGTGGGGAGGAGAGAATAGGAGTTAGTCATTTATTTATCCAGTAAACCCTAAGAAAGAGACATTCAGCTGAGACCTAATGAAAGAGAAAGAGCCAGCCCCAGAAAGGCCAATGGATGATGGCATTCTGGCAGAGGAAACAGCCAGGGCAGGAGCCCCGAGATAGAAAAACACACAGAAGGGGGCATGAATTGAGTGAGGAGAACATTAGGAGACTAAGTCCAGGGGGAGTCAGGTAAACCATAGGGATTAACAGGCCTTGGCAGAGTGTAGGGACAGAGGAAGGGAAGCTTCAAGAGTAATTTCTAAGTAGAATCAATAGGATTGATGAGGACTGGATTTGGGGGCCCCCAGGAGATGCTTGCGGGTCTGTGGGCAGGCCCAGAGCCACTGTTAGCCCAGTTGCTGACTTGAGGAGACTTAGAAAAAGGCATCCCTCCCTTGGACTCTGCTTCACCATTAGAAGAGGTCACCTGTAGAAGTCAGTGTGGGTCTGGGAGTGAATGGCCCTGGCTGTGCCGTGTGGCCCAGCACTGCTCACCGCTACAATCTTGTGCTGCTCTTCACTGCACTGCTTGGGCAGGATGGGCAAGATGGTTGGGGGCAGCAGGATGCCATCCAGCACGTGGATCACGCCGTTGGCAGCCAGTACATCCACTTGCCGCAGTGGGACCCCCTGAGGTCCCAGCAGGATGCGCCCCTGCAGCAAAGACCCACTGTGCAACCTGCCCAGCCCCGGCCCAGCCAGCCTGAGCCCACCTTCACTGCCCTGTACTCTACCTCAAAGGTCCCAGTAGCTCAGGGTGGCCAACAAGGCCCAGGCTGACCTGCCCATCCCCTCCCCCTTTTGCCCTGATGGATGCCCTCTGCTCTGACCAACAACCCCACCCTAGCTCCATGCCCTCACCATGTAGTTCCCATTACGTGAAGTACCCTCCTCCTTCTCTTGGAAGCCCACCCACCCCATTGGGCCCCAGCAGAAGGATTTGACTTATATCTGCCTCCCAAGTGATCCCACCAGGGCCTAGCATAGTGTCCTGCCTGCACAGGGCACAGAGCACACAGACAGGGCAAAAGAGGCCAAACGACTGGCCAGTCGTCCCCAGCCCCTCTACCTGCCCATTCATTCCAAACGCTCATGGAACCTCACCTCCTCAGAGATGTTCACAGCCAGGACCTGGTTCGCCATGGTGAGGACACGACCCTTCGAAATGAGTTTCTCAGTGGTCATCTGGGGTGGGTGACAGGGTGGCTTTGGGCTGGGCACTGGCAATGCCTTGGAGACATGCCTGGTCCTTCCCAGGTGACTCACAACTACCCCCTTAGGTCCTGGGGCTTATCTCCTCTGGGCTATAGTAATCCCAAGGGGAGGGGGGAGGACATAGGGAAGAGAAGGGGCCCCTGGGAAGATGGAGCCACTGAAGCAGATTCTGGCCAGCGGCTTCAGGAGCAGCAGCACTCACGTGGCCCTGGCTATAGATGTGGAACTTCACCAGTTCCTGCAGTTTGGAGAGACCCTGGCAGGGGAGAGAGGGTTTGGCTCCAGGAGGCCTGGGGCAGGAGGGTGGAGACGCTGGTGACACCACCCCCCCAGTCCATCCCAAGTCCCCCGCCCCACTGAGCTTACTGTTGTGAAGAGGTAGATGAGGCGGCCGTCACGCAAGCTGTCCACAGCCTCATTGCTTGGGACAAAGACCGTGAAGGGCCCTGCCTTGTCCAGGATGGAGGGCAGTCCACAGTTCTGTGATGTGGGATAGAGGGCAGCTCAGAGGGTGCTGTGAGGCAGCCCCCAGCTGTGAGTCCTGCTCCGGCCCTGCCACCCTCAGCCAGCAGGGAATTCCCACAAGGAGGAAGTGAGAGAGGCCAGCAACGGGTCCCTGCAACTGCAGAATTTCAGAATCTGAAATTCTGCAGAATTTCAACATGGCACTGGGTAGACTCTAGGCTGGGGAGTGGGCAAAAGGCCTTAACTATTTCAAAGCCCAGATCATGGTGGGGGAGATTCTCATGAACAGGGACCCTGGCTCAGCAGCCCAGAAGGTCAAGGACCCCTACCCCACCCCCAACTCACCTCCAGGATGGTCTCAAAGCGGCTGAAGGCCTCCGTGGAAGCGAGGATCCTGCCGATAGTTCTCTGCAGGAGGGGAGGAGCATGAGGGCTCCAGGGAAGGGGTTTCAGCCCTGGGGGGAAGGAGCCAAGAAGCAGCCCAGCCCCTAACTGCCCCTGCCTCCTCCTGAACTTTTACAGGGGTCAGAAGTCACCCAGGGGCACAGGGTGAGATGTGAGGATAAGATGGGATGACAGGAGAGTGGCAACTCACCTCAGGGTCCCCAGGAAGCCCTGAGGAGGGCTCCAACCGCAGGGTGGTGACCACGTGGAAGACACCATTGGCAGCTGGGTAGTTGGCCCTGTGGATGGTGATTTTCTTCTGGGGCTGGTCTTCATACCAGTAGGTGTATTTGCGCTGCAGCAGGAGACGGCCCTCTCAGATGCCACCTTCACACCTCTGCCTGTGCTGTGTCCCCCATCTGTGACTCCCTGGGCCCCAGGCTGAGAGGTCCTCTTCCTTACCATGAAGCGGTTGAAGGTGATGGTGAGGGGCTGCCCAGCCAGTGTCCACCACCTTCGTGTCTGCAGGCCCTCCTCCTGAAGCACGTGCTGTCCTGCGATGATGTGCTGTCTGCAGAGCTGCTGGGCAAAGGATACCTGCAGGAACGGATGCCACGTGAGCCCAGAGCAGGGCTGCCACCCCTGCCCACACCGTGGAGGGGACAGGATGCCCCTATATCTCAGTTCCCAGAGTATAGCCTGGGGCTGGGTCCTGGGGAGGAGGCAAGGACAATGATGGCTCCTTGATGGTGAGAGCTCACATTCATGCTCCTGGGGGAGGAGACGACCGATGGAACGAGCACAGTGAACGGGCCTGCAGTGGTGAGGAGCTCCCGGCAGCCCTGGCCTGAGGGCAGGGAGAGGCTATGTCAGACTGGACCCAGAAAGACCACCAGTCCTATGTGTGGGGGAGGCAGGGTGGGAGCACAGGGCCTAGATCTAGGGGAGTTGGTAGCCTCAGGCCTGGGTGGAGGGGGTGGCTAGCCCTCATCTGTATCCCATACAGCCTGCTCTGAACTACCACAGCCCTTGGGCAGAATAAGGAGTCTCTCTGCAGAGTGTTCTTCCCTCCCCACCGGTGTGAGGGCCGGCTCAGGGAAGTCAGTGGGGCTCACACACCCAACATGTCGAGGGCAGTTCTCAGACGCAGGTACACCAGGCCCACCTGGTTGGGCTTCTGCAACTCGTGGAGCAGGTGCCCGTAGCAGGCATACCCATCCCCCACCTCGCCCTCCTTGCACACACAGCTGGGGTAACAAAGAGAGCTGTCAGGGCACAGGGCCTGGCCAGGACTTCCTCCCTGCCTCCCACTGGCCCTCCTTGCATTGCCCCTGGTGTGCACCTGATATTCTTCTCAGGGGTCACCTGGCAGGTGGCTGACCGGTCACAGGAATGGGGGAAGCAGAAGGTGAAGCAGCCAGCAGAGGCATTATGGTTGACGCTGAGCAGGCCAGGTCTACATGAGCAGGAGGCCTGGGCCACCAAGCACAGGAGGGTGACATCATGTCCGTAAGAACAGCTGGTATCATTGCACCTGCAGAGCCCTGCTCGACCTCTACAACCAACCTCTGATAACCCAATTCTCACCCTCACCCCATTTTACAAATGGAACAGCTGGGCTCCGAGGGGATCTGTGATTTGCCAGGGTCCCACAGCTAGTGTGGGCAGGTGGCCCTGGAGTGGGGGAGGGCCGTGGGCAGGTAGGCTGTGGGCAGGCACTGCCAGGCCCTGGCTCACCTTGTCTGGCCATTGGTATATACATAAGGTGGAGTTGCTGGGGCAGCCACCATTGTTGATGGTGCATGGGTCCTTGGGCAGACACACCGTCCCATCACCATGGTAGCGGTTTGGGCAGCGACACTGTGCCTGCCCTGTGGGGCTCACAGAGCACTGGGCCACTGGAGCGCAGGGTGACCGTGGCTGGCAGGGGTTGGGGGCTGCCAGGGCAGAGAGCAAGAGTTCAAATGAGAATGGTTCCTGCACAGTTTCTACCAGGGCAGCACCAAAGGGAGGCATGCAGGTGTGGGCCTGGAGGATAACGCTCCCTCCTTGTGAATGGCCAGATCGCACTTGCTAGGTTAACAGCAAGTCCTCCCCATGCCTGTGCACCCCGAGCTGGGTCCCTGGTCTCCAGGTCACAGGCTCACCTAGGCATTCGCTGCCCTGCTGGGTGTAGCCGGGCAGACAGTGGCAGGAGGGGGCCTCTGCGGAGCACTTAGAGTTCTTGGGGCAATGCAGGGCCTGGCAGACAGGTACCTCTGGGCAGAGAGGAGAGAGCACCAAAATGGCCAGAGCCCCAGGCTGAGGGGAGCAGCGGGGCAAAGGTGTGGCCTGTGTGATGGATGTTTGGGCTGTGTGACTTAGGGTAGGGCTCTGCTCTCTCTGGCCTTCTAGGTGGCAGAGGTCTGGATGACACCCCTCCCCCATGACAAGCTGTGTGCTTTTCCTTAGAAAGAAATTAGGCTTTGGGCAGAGGTCCTGCTGGAGCTCAGGCTCCATCCCTCACTCAGTCTGCCTCCCTGCTCCCTGCTGAGGACTCTCTGCCTCAGTCTGCCCCAGTAGCACCTCTCACCTTGGTCACAGCGGGGGCCGGTGTATCCAGCAAAGCAAAGGCAGCTCCCATCCCCACGTGGCCCATGATTGCACACACCATGCACGCAGCTACACACTGGGAGGGACACACGGGGACAGGTGGGGGTGGGTCATGGATGCTGGGTCCCCACAGGCTCCCAAGTGGATGCTGGCTCTGCCCTCTGGCCCACAAACACTCACCAGACTGGCAATCAGGCCCAAACCTACTGGGGTCTTGGCACTCCTGACAGGCTGTGCCGCTAAAGTTTTCCTGGCAGGGGGATACCCAAAGTCAGTGTGAGCCCTTTACCACCACCACCCCATCTTACCCCTACCCTGCTCTTACCTGGCAAATGCAGGTCCCATTCCTGGTCGTGCCATCCAGGCAGGTTCCATGGCCGTTGCATGGGGTCTCAGCCCCTCCGGGGCACTCTGTGAACCCCCAGAACTCAGCTCTACCCCCAGAACCCCGGACTCACCCCTGATCCCCAGCTCTGCCCAGTCCCAGACTCAGCCCCTCCCCAAAGCAGTCAGAGCCTTGGAGCTGTCAGTAAATATTCTCGTAATGAGAAATGAGAGTAGTAAATGAACCTCGAAGGTTCCAGTAAATGAACCTGGAAGGACACCCGGGCAGCATCTACAGATGGGGACTCTGGAGCTGGGACTGGGGCACCTCCACCCGCCTCTCCCCTGTACCGTAGCACATAGACCCCCAGTAGCCGGGGCAACAGGCCTTCTGCACCACCTCCTTCCAGCACTCCTGCCTGCAGCCACTCATGGATGTCAAGGAGTCCCCCAGCTGCACCTCATAGCTGGGGGAAGAGGGTAGGCAGAGTGATGTGAGGGGCTCCCACCCTACAGTCCCCAGCCCAGCTTCCTCACACTGAGTTTCAGTACCTTAGCCCTCCCGCCCTCTCTGCCTACCCGGAGCCAAGCAGAGGGCCTGCAGGTAATCGGGTACTCAATAAATATCACCTTGCCCTCTGCCCTCTAACTCCTTCCTCCTTACCTATCTCTGTCCCACTGTAGGGCTTCTAGGCAGGGCGTTTGGACACAGGGATAAGGCCCTCACACCCAGGCCTGTCAGGCTCTCCCTGCCCCCTGCTACCCCATGGGATGTTTTTGGAAGTGGGGGAGTATGGGGCTGGGTGTACGCACTGGCAGTCCCGTGATATCTTCTCAGGGAATTCTCGGGTCCAGCCTGGGGGACACATCTGCCTCGTGACAGCAGCGCATGGGGTGCAGAGCGTGTGGGTGACGTACCTGGTCTTTGTGTCACAGCGCTTAGACCGCACCTGGACCGGGTTGAGACATGGAAAGCCTGAGTGAGGGGCTGGACTCTGTGCCCAGGTCTGACTCTGTCCTGGTCTGGGCAAGTCCTTATACTCCTCCCTGGCCTCAATTTCCCATCTGTTCAGTGGTAATGCAGTGAGGACAGGGATGGCTCTGAGAGACTGGGGGAGCCCTGTTGTGAGTTGTCGCTGCTACATGTCCCTAAGCCCACAGCTATCATCCCTGCCCATGTCCCTCTGCCCACACCCTTGAGGCATACCTAGCAGCCTGAATCTGTATCTTCTGATGTGAAAGGAATTTAGCCGTCTTTTCCCACCTCTGCCCATTTCAGGTGAGGAAGCTGAAGCCCAGGTGGCCCTGCCTAAGTTACCAGCTGATGGGAATCAGGGCCAGAACCTGTGTGTCCAGACTCCTAGCCCTTACCCAGTGCTAGTGAATGTAGGGCTTCTTCGTTTTGCCTTTATTTACAAATAAATAAATGACGTGGCTTTTATAGCAACTCTGTCTTTGATTTACAAGCACACAGGGAACACGGGCTCCCAGCCAGCGGTGGCCTCCACCTATCTGGGCATTTTCTGTTGCTGGGCATGCAGGAGCTTGCGTGCACAGTGGTGTCTGTGGATGTCTGGGATGGTCAGGCATAGCTCCCCGAGCCCTGACTCCAGGTCTAGCCCTCTGCCCTCACACACAAGCCAGGACCAGGGGGTCAGGCGCTGTTGTAGACCAGGGAAACAAAAGGTGCAAGCCTGAGGGCCTAGGCAGCTTCCTGGGAGAGGTGACAATTGAGTTGGGGTCTAAGGGATGCATGGGAGTGGAGGGGGCAGTGCTCCAGCAGGGGGAGCAGCAGAGGCAAAGGCCCGGAAGTGGGAAGTGGGAAGGAGCAACTGACCACACGTGAGGAAGCAGAGAGACCTGAGGAGGGGCCGGGAAGGGGGCTGGAGGCCAGGGCAGCAGCAGGTCTCTTGAGCCTGGGCAAGTCAGAGCTGGGGGCAGGTCAAGATTTGGTTTAGGTTTTAAGTAGGCTCCCTGGCTGCTGCATAGAGAATAGAGTGGAGGTGGTAGCAGGAAAAGAGGTGATTGAGGTGAGACCTGAGGATGGCCTGGGCTGACGCTTGGCCAGTGGGCATGGATGGAGGGACATTCAAGAGACAGCACTGATAGGCTGTCGGGTGAAAGGATGAGTGGGGGGAGAAGTCAGACCCTGGTGGATGGGGATCCCATGGGCATTGAAAGGAAGTGTGAGAAAGTCAGTCCTGCCACCATGATGTCACCCTACAGTTTCACTCACTGGCCTGCATAGGGCTGGAAGTCCACCATTGGGACCACCTTTACAATAACTAAGTCCCAGTAAACTCTAACAGTGTAACCTGGAGGGGCAGAATCTAAAGTCATGGTTATAGTAAGAGGGCCATAGGAAAGGGACATTTTAATGTAGGAGGAGTTTGGGGGGACTTGGGTCATAGCCTAGAGTAACTGAGATGTTATCATCTTGAAAAATGCTGAACACACTGTGGTCCAAAGGCAGTGAACCCAGAACATCTCTGTCTTAGAAAAAATTACAGATGTCAGGCTTCTCCAAGGAGAGAAAAGGAGAAATAGCTCCCAGACCCTTTCTTCTGGAGGACAGGCAGGTTCCAGGGCCTCTCTGCCACTGTGATTTGGTTCTTTCCGCTCATGCTTCTGTGGTCAGCAAACAGGGAAGTTGCCCAGAGCGGCTGCAGTGCCACACATGGGGCTGGGATGTTGCGGTCTCATTCCCCACCCTATCCTGCGACTTGGTCTTTGCTGAGCCAGGGAGCAACTAGGAAATTGGGTAACTCAAGGGCTGAGAAGCTGCTGGCTCAGAACAAAAACTCAGTGGGCGGCAGTCTCCCTTGGGGGCCACCTGGCCACCTGGCCGAACTACTGGTAAGGTCACCACTGGATAAGGCTCAGGACAAGTGAAGGAGCCAGGTTTAATGGATGACTCATGGCTAGGGAGAAAGCTGGAGCTCTGGGACCTGGCAGTGGATATCCTTGTACAGGATGTCAGTGTTTGTCAGCGAGTGTGAAATACAGATGGATGGATAAGCCTGTCGCCAACGCCTGCCACTGTCTGGGATGACACTCTGGCAGGCACACCCAGGACCTGCCTCACCTATTTATTAGCCAAGGAGCATTCATTAACAGCCTTAACTCACAACTTTGTCCATCCTGCTGGGGTGGTGTGAGGCTAGGCAATGGTCTGCATGCTGAACCAGATCGCTTTCTCCCTGTGGGACCTGCCTAAGCCAGAGTGGGTGCTGGCCTGCCCGTATACTCCATCATCTGCTTCCCTCAGAGATGCCACTGAGGGAGTTGAGAGGTCCTGAGGTATGGAGCCTGGGCAGGGGCAGATTACTCAAGGTAAGCTGGGACATACTTTACTTAATATTCTGTAGCAAACAATTTCACATGGTGGTGGAAGAAACCCCTCCATGCCAGGCTCAAGATCTTCCCAGTCCTTGCGCCCCCCCCCCCAGAGAGAAATGACCCCTAAACTGCTTCCCCTGGCCCAGAGCAAAGTGGGAGGGCCAGGGTCTAGGCATGAGACCACAGGTTCCACCAACACAGCCTGGCACAGTGTAAGTGCTCCATACAAGGCTGCTGAGTGGATGAGTCCTAAGAACCCCTCTTCCAGGGACCCTTCTCTGCTTCTGCTGCCTGAATCTGCATGTGTTCAAGTCCTACTATTGCCCCTTTCTGGCTGTGTGGCCCAGGGGACATCCCTTCCCCTGGAGCCTTGGTTTCCTCATATTTGCAGTTGGTGTCATGCTATACAGTCTGGACGAGTGACCGTGAGGCTGGGAGGAATAAGGTCAGCATTGGTACATCTCCATGCACAGGAACCCATGGGCCCTCCTCCCTGGCCCAGGCTGGCTGAGCTGCAGGCCCAGAATGGAGGCTGGAGAGTGGTCAGAGCCTTAGGTCACCAACAAGTGAAAAACCCCAGTCTGAGGCCCCTCATTAATCCCCTGTCCCCATCATCTCGTAACAGGAGGAAGTGTGAGGCCTTTGAAATTCCCTCACATTGTACTTATGGGGAAACTGAGGCATGGAGGGGCCAGGAACCCACCTGCAGGGCTCAGCACAGCACAGCCTTGGGAGCTTTGGTTTTTCTACCATCACTCATGTATTCTCAGCCCCAGGTCTGCCTGTACCCAACTCTGGCCTGGTGGGAGCCCCTCTCCCTGCCCCCTCTCACCACACAGAATCCAAGAGAGAAAGTCTGATGGTGGCAGGAGGACTGGATGCCCAGCTGTGGGACCCTGGGCTGGTCCTTGCCCTCTCTGCACCTCGTTCTTCCTGTTAATGCCTAGGGAACAGTGGCAGCTGTCCCAAGATTCAGATGAACTTGGCTCACAGAGGAGGGCACGGCCCTTCCAGGTGACTCTATCTGCATAGTCAGATGTGCTCTTTCAGAGGCTTGCACCGGCCAGGATAGACTTGCAGACAGGCAGCCTGGAGGTGGCAGGCCCACAGGACCCAAGAGGGGGCATGCCATAGCTGCACACCAAGTCCCTGTGTTCTCAGCCAGCAGCTTGCATGGGGAGGAACAGGCGGTAGGTTGGTAGAGGGCTCCTGAGTTGGGATGATCTGTCCCCACCATCCCTTGGGCTTGACTTCCTCACAGAATGGCAGAACCCATTTGCTGCTTTTGTGAAGGTTGGGGGGCCTGGGGAATAGTGTTGCGGCTGTGCCTAGGGCTGTGCGTTTGCTCACCGGCAGCTCTCGGGATTGAGGGTGTTATCTGTATTGCCGGAGCGTCCTAGTGGAGAGCAACTCTCATCCTGCCCTGTGGAGTACTCTTGGGGCACACTGTCACATGAGCACATTCTCAGCAGGCATATACACGGTCCACGTGAGTTTCTCAGTTTGTGGCCCCATGTGGGTTGGGGGCGATCACATCTCCAATTCCCTGGTGAGGGTCATACAGAGGCCTGGGCCTCAGTCTGGGCAGGGAGGGTAGGAGGGTGGGTCTGGCTCAGACCCCCTCATGCTCAGTCTGGGGATCCCTGGGATGGGCAGGTCACACCACACAGCTGCACACAGGACACAGTTAGAGGAAGAAGGGTGATACCCCCTTACCAAACAGACACAGACCTTCAGCCCAGGCCTGCTCAGAGGTCAGACTGGCATCAACCACCCTGTGCGTCCCCAGACTCGTGCCCTATCTGTGTAGGGTCCCTCCCTACTCCCACTGCTGGCCAGCAGGGCCCGGACACCATGTCCTCTTGCAACTTGCTCACACTCACCTTCTGCCCCTTGATGAAGCTGGAGCCTGCCAGACATAAGACCAGGAGGTAGAGCAGGAGGCGGCCCTGGGGCCCTGCCATGGCTGGCAGTGGCTGCGGGCACACCGTCCGGGACAGAGTCAGGGTGGCCGGCGTGGGGAATGAGCTCTAGGAGGCAGGCACGGGGCGGGCAGTCTCCTTAAAAGCATCCCGGAAGCCCCGCCAGTTCACCCCCACAGGAACCCGCCAGGATTTCCTCCTCCCTATCAGCAACCTACAGGCGGAAGGGAAGGCGCTGCCCCTGACCCCTGCATGGATGGCCCAGACCCTCCTCCTGGCCATCATAGCCCCAAGCCCATCTTTAGCCATGGGGCTGGGGTCTCTGAGGTTCCAAAGCAAATGCAAATGCAAATAGTTCCTCACCCCATCTGTCCCCCATGCTCAGCCCATTCCATTCAGAGGCTCTGTGAGGACCTGGTCATTGTCTGGGGGGTAGGGCAGCCCCCCCCCCCCGTTGGTCTGTCTGCACCCAACTTCACCTTTCTAACTGCTGAAGGCAATTCGGGGCTCATCCTCTCACTTGCCCCAACAGGTAGTTCTGCCCACTTGGCCTCCCCCTCTCCACCCTCATCCAAGTCTGCACTGCCATCCTCTCTCCTGAATAGGCCTACTCAGTGATTTTCCTGTTGCCAGCGCCCTTCCTCCCTGATCCGTCTAGCTGAAACATGGATGCTTTCCCCCACTGTGCAAGCCCGTCTGCTGCACCCACCTTTCTGGCTTTGCTTCCTCCCTTTGTCCCCCTCACTCTGCTCCGGCCATGGGGTGAAAGCCTATCCAGTTCTAAACACAAATGAGTGAGCAAACCCCCTTAGCATGCAGATGTTGTCACCTCAGATTGTCACACAGCAATTCCTTCTCATGGGTTGTCCCAGGTCAAAGGCCACCAGGTGACACTGGTCTATTTATTCTGCTGGCCTGGCTGGCTCACACAAAGCATGCTCAGTATGTATGTGTACAATGAATGAATAAAGGTAACCTCTGTTACTGGTGGGGAACTGAGGTTCAGAAGGGCCAGGTCAATTGTCCAAGATCACGCAGGGGACCAGCGTTGAAGTCCCAAGCCTAGGGCTGCTGCCTGCAGTCTCACTCATTGCTACACTGCACAGCAGCCTCCTCTAGTCGTCTTCACATACCTCACTCAGCCCATTGATAAGCCCAGGCTGTGAGGCCTGCATGCCAGCCCCCTGGTTGTCATCACCTATTTACAGATGGCCCTACCTCAAGGGCTCCGAGGCAGCCTTGTAGCTCTGAACATGTAGACAGATATGAGGGGTGTGGTGTCCTCCTCTCTACCTTCCACTGCCTGACTCCCACCTCCCACATGTTCTCCCCTTGCTGCCAACAGGGGCATCGTGGTGAGAACCCCAAATCCCACATACTCCCTGGCCATCCCAGATTCCAGCACCTCTTCCCCCACCACAGGCAGCAGCTTCTGGTGGTCTCAGGCCAGGGTGAGACTCCAGGTCTGCAGGCCCAACCTGAGGCAGCAGCCCACCCTGCACCCAGGCCGAGGGCGGCAGGCAGTGTCCTCCGGACTTCCACTGATCTCTTTGGCCTCAGCTAGTAGTTTAGGTGCAGCCAGCATGGGCCTGTGAGGGGTGCCCCCGATACTGCCTCCATCCTGGGCTTGTGTTATCCAACAGGCTTCTCCCGCCCAGAGGCTACTTCCTTTGTTTTTCCCCCTGCTCCCTCCCTCCCTCCCTTTCCCACAACCCCCCTGCCCTCTTGCATGTCCAGGGCATTCTCGCCCCCTCACGCCAGCCATGAACTCAAAGACTTAGACTGTGTCAAACTCTGCTTTATTGGAATAGAGAAAATAGGCAACAGGAATCACGCTGGGTTCTGGCAGGTCTAGGTCCCCTGCTCCCTCCCATCTCAGCCCCAAGGCCTGGGGGAACCCTGCCTCCAGGGGGCTCTCCCACCTGTCTGGACCTGGGAGGCTTCCACTCTGAGAAATGGCATGTGTGAGAGCCTCCAAGGTACATTCTGCTACCAGCTTCATGATCAGCAGCAAAATGACAACAGCAACAAAAGACTGGACTTGACACTTTACAAAGGACGTGTAAAAGAGTAAAACAGATCCACAGCGTCACTTGTTAACACAGTCCAACAACAAAAGATACAACACTGGTGCGCCTAGTCAAGCCACACTGCAGGCAGGTAACATACCTGCGGGAGGCTGATAGCACGGACAGCCCCTCATGGGGCCTTGCATTTGACTCCCGGGATTGGAAACAATTAACTGAACACCCATGTTCACATTATCCACACTGACAATCAAATTAAAGTACCAAAAGGGAGGAGAAAACACTTTTAAAAAGAACAAAGGCAGCCTGTTTCTGAGGGTGGTCTGTGCCGGGGCTAGCCAGTGAGCTCAACAGGCAGCTCGCGGCCGCACAGCGCCTCCCACTGGCGGGCCAGCAGCGAGATGAGCTTCTCACGGCTCTCAGCGCTGGGGACAAAAACCTGCCATTGGACCTCACGGCCCTGGCCAGCCTTGGCCAGACCCCCTGGCACCTCCCCAAAGTGGTCCAGGGTGACATTGCCCATGAGGTCATGGCCCTGCATGTCGTCAAAGACAAGGGTGAGGGCCTGTGGGTAGGTCTGGTAGCCCATGAGTACACGGTCAAGGTCTCGAACTCGGCGGCCGTCGTCCAGCTGATACCTGTCCCTCTGTGGCGGCTCTTTGGCGAACTCAGGCAGCGGGTAGTGGACGTAGTCCTCGTCCAGAAGAAAGATCTCGGCACTGGTGAGTAGGAGTGTCTTGGGGCGAAGCATGCCCCTGCAGCGCCCAGGTGGCGGGGAGCCCACCTGGAAGGCCTGCACATACAGCAGGATGCTGAGGGCTGGTGCCTGCTCTGCAGCAGCCATCTTTTGGGCCACGATGAATGTCAGGTCTCCGATCTCCTCCTCGCTGGGGTAGGTGAACTTGACACGGCTTGAGTGGATCAGCTCGTAGTTCTCCATCTTTCCTGCAGAGAGAGGCCGCCAGGGCTGTAGCCTGTGAGTGGTCTATGGTGGAACTGGAAGTGCCAGGGACCAGGGACCCTAAGCCACCCAGAGACTCCAGCATGAGCCACTGTTCGCCAGAGGCTGGGGTGAGCCCTCCGAACCCACACCCTCAGGCAGAGATCCATAGGCCAGACCTAAGCAGACCCCTGAGATGTGTCTGTTGAATGCATGAGGGTTTGCTGAGATGGAGACTTGGCCATGGAAAATCCCCCTGTAAAACCCTGGCCGGTGAAGCAGCACAAGTGACAGAGAAAGCAAGAGGGGAACAGAAGCAGAGCAGGTTCTAGGGCACAGGGATGCTCCGGAGTCAGCGGGGAAGCCATGACGTCAGCCCAGGGCTGGGCATACCTGTGCTCTTGTTTCCAAACTCAGAGTAGAAGTCCTTGTCAACAGGCTCAGGTGAGGGCGTGCGCTCCAATGAGGAGAGCACGGCCATGAGGTGCTGGAGGAAGCAGTGCGTCAGGTAGCTATCCCGAGTCAAGCATGTAACTACTTGCGCTGGGGAGGAGCCTGCACGAGAGGGGGGCTGGTCATGGCCAGAGACTACCACTCCTCCAGCCCTGTCCCTGCCTCTCAAAAGCCGGTTTAGTCTCCAGGAAGTTCTCAGCACAACTGAAAGCCCACAAGCCCAGGGCCAAGGGGGCTCATGTGGGCAACATGGCTGGGGGCCGGGGAGGCAGCCATTTCTTAGGCCGGAAGGGCTGAGACTTTTTTCTGGAAGGGGATACGGCATCAGGGAAAAAGCTTAGCTTTCCCTCTTCAGGAAGTGTGAGTCAGAAACATCCTGCCTCAGGAATCCAGGACCCACTTGTCTGCCCGCAGGCACTTCACTGCCTCAGTCTGGGCTTGGCGCTCGCTGTACACCCCACCCCCTGCTCCCAACTTTGGGATGAGTTCTGCATTCTCAGCAGTTCCTGAAGCTGCTTCCTCCCGCCCTGGCTAACCGGCTTGTGAGCAGAGATAACTCTGCTCCAATAGCGCATTCCTGTGTGGAAGTGAAGCCCACTAGTGACACCAGCTTTCACCCAAAACAGGTCAGGCACAGAGGGTCACTCACCCGTCAGCCGGAAATACTGGTCAAAAAGCCCAACGTTGACTGACTGCAAGTCACTGAGTTTTAAGACAAAACACTGGGAGATGTGGAAAGGACTGTTGTTATAGTCAGTGTTTTTCTGATGCCAGAAATCTGTGATGGAAAGAAGTAGACTGAATGTGATGGGGGCTGGGGCAGAAATGTGTGAGGGTTCCAGGCATGCAGCAATGCCCAGCAGGAATGACCCCCTTGGCCGGTCTGCCTGCCAAGTCCTGCTAAAGGGCGTCCTCTCCGCCCACGAGGCCTCCAGGGTCTGCGCCTCACCCAGCTCAGTGGGTCACCATAAGCCCTACAACAAGCTATTACCAAAAGCTCCCACTGAGGTCCCAGGGGGCAGGGACTGCTCAGTTCCTCCTAATTCCAGCCTGTCCCCATGCACTCACTGGGGCTAGCTCGGCATTCTCACGCCTGGGCTTAGGTCCCTGTGGATAGCTCCCAGATGGATGTGCTGTTACTACCCTGCCTAGGGCAGTGGGTAGACTGGTGGGCGGCCCCAGCATACCCTGCAGTGGCTCTGAGAAGTGGCGCCGTAGCCCATCATGCAGCACCAAGTACACGGCCTTGGTGGAAAGCAGTACACAGGCGGTGACCTCCAGCCCCGGCGTCTGATAGAACACCACGGAGGACCACATCAGGTGCCTCAGCTCCTCATTTTCCACCTGCAGACAGAGGGACGATTTGGGGCCTGCAGGAGAGCAGAGCCAGCAGGGGTGCAGGGAATGCACCCTCTACTTCTCGACCATGCTTGAAAGTAAAGCTGCAGACAGGATGGACCTCTCCCACAGAGCGGGGGGTAGGGCACGCCCAGTGAAGGGGTCAGCTTGGGCCAGGGGTGACCACACGGGGATGTGCGGGGTGAAGGGACAGCCAGGCAGGGTGGGCAGCTCACTAGCTCCCTACCCAGGTCCTCAAAGCTGAAGCTGGAGGAGAGCAACACCAAGTCCTCATGTGACCTCGCTCTACATCAGGAAACCCAAGACTGATGCCAAAACCAGAACCCACACCTCTCCCCACACAAATACCAGTCAGCAAGACCATGTGCCCTGGGTCCAGGTACCTCAGCAATGCTGCTGTGGAAGAACTCGATGATGGCACGCCCCCGCAGGCTGGCAATGTGCCGGAGCGACAGGCAGGCAGGCAGGTGTGAGGGGATCTGATTCTCCTCTGAGGTGGACTGGATCAGATGGTCGCTTGGGTACTGGGTGGGTGCCTCTGGTTGTGCTGGGGCCTGGGCTGCGGTCTCCCCTGGGGCCAAGGTCTCCACTGGATCCTGCGCAGGGGCCAGGGCCTCTGCTGGGGTATCCACTGACACCAGAGCTGGGGCCTCCACTCCTGCTGAAGCAGTTGCTGGGTCCTCTGTTGGGGCCTCTGCTGGGGTCTGCACCAGGCCTGGGGTCTCAGCTTCTGCTGGGGCCAGGGCTGGGGCCTCTGGTGGGGCAGGAACTGGAGCCGGGGCCTCTTGGGGATGCTGGTCATTGCTGTATCAACCAATCCCCCGAGAAACACCAAATTAATATATGCACCCCAGGTCGACATACGCAATGTGTATGTAACTCAGAGCACAAAGAGAGAGCGTACACCACATACCACCTCAGGGCTCATCCTTGGGATCTGATCACTAGGTTCTCTATGGGTCAACAAAAAATAAGGGAAGTGCTCCCTTCATCCCAGCAGGGAGTTGGACAGCTAAGAGGAGGGTGGGCCTAGTCTGGCACCCCACGGCTAAGGTGGCCAGACACATGGGGTGGTGGTTTTGGCCAATGGACCAAAAATCGATTTTGAGAAGGTGGCAGAGGTGGTGGAAGAGCCCTTCCAGAGTCCAGAGGTTAGACCAAGTGAAGAAGGCTGGGACTCGAGTGCCCGCCCAGACACTGCTTGTGGAAGTGAAATAAAAAACTCAAAACTGCTGTTCAGTTTGCCCTTTGGGGCCTCCACAGGTGGACCAGGCACTCTACCTAGCCACCACTGCACGTAGCCACACTGGGTTGCTACTGTTCCATTCTGTGCAAAAGATCACATTTGAACTCCTGAAGCTCACTGAGATTAAGGAACCCTGAGTCCCCTGCAACCAGCCTATATGCCCATGGGGAATCTAATGAATGTCATCTCAACTGGACCTCTTGAACGAGATCCCTAGGCCTGACCACTTTGGACTTAGCCAAGTGCCCCCAAGAAGCCTCTGGGCTGTTCTTCCTGCTGCCCTAGCACGGTGCTTCTGCTGGTGTGGAGCAGGACCTCAATTTCTGCAGGCAATCCCCACTAGGGGCAGACGCCAGCTAGATTTGGGGATGGTGGTGAAATGAAGACAAGGTATCCACCACCCAAAGGCTCAGTACAGAGGAGATGGCCAACTGGTCCCCCTCCAGCAAAATGGCTCACAGCATCTGAGAGTACCAGGTGTCTCTACGGAGGGTGTGGTGCTTGGGCTGGGCAGAATAGGCCAAGAGGGAGCACTAGCTGGGGGTTTGGTTCAGGGGAAGGCAGATATGTGAGATGCTGGGGCAGGGTGGGGGCAGCGAACAGTAAAGAGGAAAGGAGGGAGACTCTTAGGGGCCAGGACAGGCAGGGCTTTCTTCCCCAGGTGGGGGCCAAGAAAACAGATGGCATCGAGCCAAATAACTTATGCCACCTGCACATGTCAGAGCAGAGTGGTGCTTTACGGAGTCTTTAGTGGCTTTTTAGCAACAGATCACCAGGCCTTTCTTCCAAGGTACCTCTGGATACTCAAACCTCCAGCCCTTCAGTCAGCAGCCAAACCCCTTTGCTGTATGCACCACCCAGGGACTCCCAAGTAGGGGAAGTCCTTGTAAATCTGAAGTCCAGGAGCCAGGAAGAGAAGGAGATGGAGGCACCCCTGAGGCTGTCTCAACCAATCCCCAATTTTAAGCTACAGGTGTGTGTGTGGCAGGGAGTGAGCTGTGGGTCCCTCCAGGCCTATCTCCAGGAGGCCCTGAAGGAAACTAGGTGAGGAAGGTCCTGAGAGGTCAGAGGAAGCCATGCTCAGTGGGTCAGGAGCAGTGTGAGGCTGGGGAGAGGAAGAACAGCACAGGGTGTCAGCTGTAGTGTGTGTTTCAGGGCTACCAATATCCATGTCCTTCCTTCTCTGTACCCCTGAAGAAAAGGAGCATTTGGACAAAATGATCCCCTAAACTCAGACACTCAGATTGTGCCACTTCTAGCCAAAATCACACCCAAACAGAGGACCCCCTCAGTAGACCAGTTCTTACTGGCAGGGATTTGTGGTTCACAAACAGGGTGGGGCTTAGGAGCTATGTCTCAGGGATGGATGGAGGTGGGAGACTGGGGGCCCAGCCATGCTGGGCCTTATGTGACAAAGGACTGGACCTCTTCTAAAGTCTTGAGAGAGAAGGTGCAGCCCAGTGCCCAGTCCAAGGGAGCCAAGGGCAGTCAGGAGGTGAGAATCTGAGGGACAGAATGGCCTTGTGAGAGCCGGGCTCGGCATGGGCTCCTCACCAACTACAGATGCACAGGATCTGATATAGGGTGAGTGGTCTCAGACACGGTGACAATGGACTCCCTGGACAGTTGCTCACACACACACCAGCCTCACATCTCTCCACCCGAGAGCCTGTGCTTGGTCTCACCTGGCCCTGCCCTCAGCAGGCTGGCCGTCCCCAACAGGGTTCCATGACCTGCCCACAGTCGTAGGGGTCTTGGCAATGACTACAGTCTTCAGGTCCTGCAGCGAGGCCCGCAGCTGGTTGTAGATGCGCAGGAAATGGAACTTCTCATGTGGCAGCACAAAGATGGCAGTAACGAAACGATAGCCCACGAGCAGCTCAAGCACATGGCCATCAGCGAAGGCACCGCGTGGCTGGGTGCAGCTGCGTGTGGGGTCCAGCAGCACGGTGGAGAGGGGCACGCGGCTGAGCTTGAAGCTGTTGCGGTTGCGGCAGTTGTGGGTGCCACGGTTGGGCATGGGGTTGAAGTCAGCCTTGATGACATTGAGGTGCTGGGGTGTGAGCAGCAGCCAGTAGGGGATGGCGGCAGACTTGACAGCCTCGGAGGGCGCGCAGCAGGAACGCCGCACAGCTGAGCAGAGCGTGCAGCTGGCCCACTCGATGTTGCCCGAGTAGTCTCCGGCAGCTGTCTGCACCATGCGCTTGTCACTGTAGACTAGGTAGACAGGGAAGCAGCCCTGGCTGCACTCCTGGCAGCCACCTGCCACCTTGTAGAAGGTGAGCAGCTGGCGTAGGAACTCCTGGAGGCTGGTGTGGCTGCCGTATAGCACTGGGCTGCAAAGCATGGCCATGTGCTGCGGGGCGAAGCATGAGCGCAGGTCTGCATGGAACTCGTGCAGGTTGGCGGCGTCAGAGATGATGAAGAGCGTGTTCTCGCTGTGCCGCACCTTGAGCACCAGACACAGCTCAGGCATAAGAAAGCCGAACTCGGTGAGGTCGCCGTGCGGGAAGCAGAAGACGAAGCGCAGGGCTGAGAGGATGTGCTGACTGCTGCCGCGTGACTCCTGGTGTGGGATCTCGAAGACGGCGATGCCGAAGTCGGTCAACACCAGGCAGGAGGCAAACTGCCGGATGCTGCCCTGCACGTGGATCAGGAAGCACCACAGCACTTTGAGGATCCGGATGTGCTCCAGCAGGAAGTCCTCGTCTGCGCCCAGAGCCCACTCCAGGGCCAGCCGCTCCTCCTCGCCCTCCTCCTCCTCCTCCTCCTCTTCTTCCTCCCCCCGGCCACCCTCCTCCTCTTCCTCCACATCTGGGGGCCCCATTTCAAAGTAGCGGTTCTCGGCAGCGTCCTCCTCCTCGTCCTCGTCCTCGCCCTGCTCGCCCTGGCCCTCCTCCCGCTGGTTGGCGGCCTCGATCCAGGCGGGCAGCTGCCGCTCGATGGCCTGCCGGATCAGTGCACTCAGGCGCTGGATGAAGTCCTGGTTGGTGGCGGTGTAGCCAATGCAGGTGAAGGGAAGGAAGATGATCTGACCAGACCCAGGCACCACCTGGACTTCCGGCTCCGCATGCTCCGGGCTGTGTGGGGAGAGGCCAAGTTAGTGATGTCTAAACTGGAACATTCCAGCCTCCCATGGTTAGAGCCTACTGCTTACACCTTGGCTCTAAGGAACTACCCTACAGGTCTCCCAAGCCTCCTACAAAACTGGACAAGCACCCTGGTGCTGACAGCTTCAAGGCCAGGATCGTCAGGGTAACCAGAGCCCACGCTCCTGGGCCTGCAACCCCAGCTGTCCAGATAGTCTTTCCCAGATCACACTGGTCCTTATGAAAGCTCCACGAAGACCTCACATCTACTCAGGAGGGCTGGCCATGAGCCCCAAAGGCAAGGAGCACTCAAGGACACAACCCATTTATGGATAAGGGCTCCTTCCAGTGGCCAGTGAGGGGCGGGGGTGGGGGGGTGCTGGGTCAAGTCTTAGGACCTTCATTTACATTTACATTCACATTCACATTTACTGCCCTCTGTGAGAGTAGGCGTAGATCAGGGGCTGGTGTGCTCCTGCTGGGAAGCCAGACAGTTTACATCTTCTTATTAGTGTTTTTTAATGGCCCTTGAAAAATATAAACATCGTTCTTAGTTCATGGCCTGTACAAGATAGGCTGTGGACCCAACAGGCCAAGACCTGCTGACCCCTAATGTAGGACTAACATGCGTCAGGCAGAGTTTATGGATTAGAAGTTGCAAACAGACCAGAATCCATTCCCTATGTGTTTATTTAAAGGACAAAATAATTCTGTAGGACTTGTCAACAGATTTTTAACAAAATCCACTTGCCCACAGGCAGCTGTGAGTAGAGAGCAATGGCCAGGGTACCCAGCCAGGTTCAGAATGCATCCCTGGCCTTTTACTTACCTTGCACCTCCAACAGCTCCTGGCACATCCCTTACATCATCAGAAGCTGCCTGATAGAGAAGGAAACGGGTCAGCCTTCCACCTGCTGTCCCTGCTCTGCCCCTCCTCATTGGCCTGGCCCCAGCAATCTCCCCATTAAGAGGGTCTGCACTGTCCACACACTTTACTCTAGGATGTGCTCTGGGGCCCAGAGAGGCAGAGAGATGGCCCAGTTATCCCACAAAAGCACAGTAGGGTTGGGATTCACAGCCATGTCTGTCTGACCTAGTCCAGGTTCCCAATCCCTGGACCAGCGCCCTCGCCATCTGAGGGCTCCCTGTGCTACCAGGATGGTAACGTGGACAGTCTACCCACTTGGCCTGGCCTTTTGTGGTCACTAAAGTATGTGATGAGCCGAGGCAGTGCCTGGCAGGCCCTCCCAACAGTCTCTGGGTGGCTGGGAAAGCAAGAACACACCTGGCCTTGGGTCCACTTCTGCCCCTCACTAGCTTAGTGACCCCAGGAGGGTGAAGGGAAGAGTGCCTATGGGTGCTGGGCACAGAGTGAGGGCTCTGCAAACCACAAGTGCTGTACTGCCATGATCCTGTAGTGTTCAATGGAGGAGACATGGCTAGAGGCGGCCCAGGCACCAAGCACATGCCATTATCAAGTGAGCTTCTCACATCCCACTTCTTCCTCTCTCCCCTTAGGACACAAGAAGGCCTTAGAAACCTCATCAGCTACGACAGAAATGCTGCTGAAGTTATGCTGTCCGTAACTACCAGGGTGATAAGCCAAGAATGAGCAGACTTGCTCCAGGGGGCGAGGCAGTACGGGGGAAACCCTTTCTGGTGGGTTTGAAGCCAACCCCTATCACCACCACAGAGGGCCTTCTAGGCTGCCTTCCCCAGGAGAGTCCACTCACATGGGCTCTGAAGTGAGTCATCTGGCTTTACCCACCAGGGCACAGGGACAGGGAACTGCCATTCCCATGGAATCCTTGGGAGAGTAACACTGAACACAGACCCTTAGCTACTGGGCTTGTCATTAAAACTAAGCTAGAAACATGTCCAAGAACATCAAGTGCACCAAACACTGGTAACATCTGCTGTGCCCCAGCCAGGCTTCTGTGCTTCCAGACCACCTCACACAGAAGAGTCGGGCCGGCAGCGGACAGACATCAAGCCCCTGAAGCAGGAGGAGGATGTTACCTGTCCTGCTGGGATGGATTCCAGGGAATCGGAGCAGCCCTGGGCAATGGGCCGGTCCTCAGGAGTCAGACTGTCAGTGGACGAGAGGCTGCTGGCCAGGGCCTCCTCCTGCACGAACATGATTCCTAGAGAGACCAGGGCAGGCGGGTGGGGCAGGCGGGGCAGGGAGAGCAGCTGTTCAACCACCGGGGCTGGGCCAGGGGCTACCGGCTCAGCTGGGGTTAGTCAGACCCAGACCCAGCCACTTGGAATAAAGAAGGAAACATTAACACTGAAATCTGTAAATAACTCAATGAAAGAGCAAGTGGCTGGTCAACCAATCTCAGGGTAGGGGGACCTCTGTGAGCTTAACTACAAGGGAAGAAACAGAGTGGTGTCATGACACACAACTTTAAACTTCTATAAATTAAAGAAGAACTAAACTGAAGAGAACACAAAAACAAAGTAAATGAGGAAGAAAAATATTTGCAGTATTTGACAAAAGACTTTTTATCTTTAATCTCTACAATGCTCTTACAGATTACAAAAATGAAGGGAGAAGGTTGGAACCCCCACTAGGAGGCTGTGCTAAAGACACAAATAGACATTTTACAAAGGCAGAAAGGCCAATGGATGGAGCAGAGAAAAAAACTTTCACCCTCATAAGTCATCAAAGAAATGCAAGTTAGAGCAAGAGACCCAGTTATCATCACTCTGGCAAAGATGAGACTGACTGGGGCCCAGACCTGGCTTAGCTGGGCAGAGGCGGCGCTGGTGTGAGCTGGCTTAGCCACTGGGAGAGCAGTTTGGTGGTGTGTCTATCAAGAGCCTTCAAGGGTCTATCAAGCCCCTAACAAGATGCCACCCCCGATCCACATCTCTAAAGAGATTCTCGGGCACGCCAGGGCTAGGACCCCTCACTTGGGGAGGCTAGACCTTCTAATGGGCCTTGGTTTCCTCCTGGGCTAGTGAGCACCACCTGTGCCTGGCTCCCCTGGGCTTGCTTCCTATGGTACATGCTCCACTCAGCCTCCCCTGGACAGTCACACCCAGATCTATGCACCCGGGAAACACACGGTGCTTTTAAACCCTGCTGAGACTCTTCCACGGCACTACCACAGCTGGGGTGGTGGTTACCTCACTCCAGACATTTTGTAGATTGGTTGAGGGTAAAGGCTTTTTCAATGTGTCCCTATAGCTCAGCTTTACCACCAGTCACCATGGCCCAGTGAAATTATCAGAGCCCCAGAGGTCTGAGTCCCTTGTCCAGCTCAGCTGCTGGCCAGGGACAGGACAACTCACGCAGCCCAGGTCCTCTGCCCGTGGCCAGGCAAGGAGATGGCTTGTGGCCAGACACTCACAGAGCAAAGCAGCAGGCTGTGCAGAGACAAGAGGGCGGCAAGCACACAGCCATGCGGGCAATACGCCATGGCACCTACTGGGTCTTCCCTGGGCTCTGGCTGACATTGCTGCTCTCTCCTGGGGTCCACCCCTCCTCCCGACCATCTTCAGATCCACTCATCCTTCAAGTCTTCTCAGACACCAGCTCCACCACAAAGCTGTCTCTACTCTAGGCTCCAAGTTCCTCAAGGTACTGTCCTGTCTCCCTCACCCAACCCCTGGCTAAGGATGCAGAAAAGGGAAGCCTTTATTGACCACTTTTGGTGAGTTAGGAGCCATGCGAAGAGCTTCCTAAGCATTTACTCATGCACACCTCTCATTATTTACCACAATTCCATTGAATCTAAGATGCGGGGATGTGGCACCATCTTGGTCTTAGTAGAAGCGTCTGGAATGTTTTGATATGACTCCGTCACAAATAACAGCAGGCTGACAGTGACTATGAGATGCCACTGAAAGATCTCAATTTCAGAGAGGTCACGAAGTAGAAACAAGAGTGCATCTTAGAGTCGATGAAGTAAGGTGTATCCATGTAACAATTGAGAAAACAGAGCTTCAGAGAGGCCACAAGTTGCCTGAGGTTACACGGCCAGAAAGTTGGTTGCTAGACCTCAAACTCAGCTGCTTCTGAAGCCCAGATGCCTGCTCTTAACCACTTCCCTACATGCTTCCTCCCAGCTCCCGATGCAGCTGCAGAATCAACTTAGGCATTTCACACATCAGTCCCTACCAGTCACAACCCTCCAGGGCTCTGAAAAGCTGGGCTAACAGCTCCTGAGACGACCAGAGGCCTGGTGTTCAATGGAAAGTGCCCCCTTCAGGCAGACCTTGAGTACTCAATATATTCACAAGTATGTTCACTTCCTACAGAATTAGACCGGGAACAATAACAAGCATTGCTAAGAAACCCACTCCTATAGGAGAAATCCCTGCCCATCCAGGCAACACCCATGAGCACATAGCTGAAACAAAAAATGAGGATTCCTCCACATTAGAAAGAAGAAAACAAATAGCGTTTTCTGGACATTACTACCCTCCCTCACCAAGTTGTTTGGAGATGAGGAAACATGGATAGGGATAGGGACAGTCTGTCAGCTTCCTTCTTGGCCTGTGGCCTGTACAAACAAGCGGTCAGAAATGGCCATTCTGAGGATGGGATGTGGACGTCAGGAGAATCTTTAGACAGGGGCCCGGCCCTTTTTTTGTTTCTCACAAAAGGAAAGAGATGTGCACACAGAGACATCCACTGTAGTTTTATTTATAAGAGGTGCAAATCTGAAGACAACATCTCAATGTCCAGTAACCGGGAAAGGGGAAACAGACTACAGTGACCCACTCTGTGGAGTGTCCCAGGGTGTGAGGGTGTGGAGCTGCAGCCTGGGCTGCTACAGAGGGCTGGGGGGCTATAGCCTTGGAGATGGACACATCACCTACCCTGCCCGCCCGAGGTCTACTCTCAACCAGCATGTTTTCCATATGCGTGTTCATTGACTCGTTCACTCACTCACTCACTCACTCACCAAATGCTGACTGAGAACCGGCTGCATCCCTGGCCCTGAGAACCAGATGCATCTCCCTGTCCCAGGAAGCCTACAGTCATGTGGGAGACCGAGGAACAGACAAACTGTCCCTATGCAGCCTCCAGGAAAGCACAGGGATGTGGGGGCCCCAAGGAGGGTGGGCCCAGCTGCAAGAGGCCAGGAAAGCACCTTCTCCACAGTGATACATAAACCCCCTTTGATGTTAAAAACAAAAAACAAAAACAAAAAAAACCCCAAAACCCCAAACAACCCAAAGTTCTCAGTCAAAAGTATGACAAAAGCAAATGTGCAATCTTTCTGGCACGTAACACCACCACTCCATTCCCGCGAACTCTCTTTAGCATCTTATGGTCGAAACCTTGGCTCTGTACCAAACTTTTTGGCTTAGATTAAGTATTTCTTCCATTCCTACTGTCTTCTTCTCTCTGTGACAGGGACAGCTTAATCTCCCTCAAGTCCTCCACCATGTCACATGCCATGCTTTGCTAGCATAAATAATGCTGCCGTGAGCGTTTTGCCCCCTCCCCGTATCCCTCCAAGATAAAATCCCCACCAGTGGGGTTACCAGGTCAAGGAGTGGGAATGTTTTTCTGGCTCTTGAAATATAGGGTCAAACTGTTTTCCCAAGACCTCACACCAAGTTCTGCATCTCCAGGAGCCTGGGCAGGCGGTGTTCTTTCCTGTGTGTCCCGAGCCTTGGCTCCACTCGGGACGGCACACCCTCCCCTCTTCCGTGGGGGGCCGGGCCAGCAGACACTCCCATGGGACCTGCTTCACTCACTCATCTCCGAGGATGCCTGGTTCAGAGGTGAAAGCTCTTTGAAAATGCTAAGACAGTGGGCAGATGAAAGGGATTGGTCTTCCATGGGTCCACAGCGACAGACATCCCATCTTGGCCCCACACACAATCTTTTGGGGCTGGGCCAGACCAAAAGAGCCATGGTAATGATTAAAGAAAGCTCCCCATGGAGAGACCAGGGCTCCAGACTTGGTAGAGACACAAGAAAGGAGCCAACCTGCCCATACTGCCTGCAGGGACGGGAATCCTATAAGCCAGCAGCCCAAGCCTACTCACAGGGCAGCCTCAGGGCCCTTTGACACCCCGTGGTATCCTAGAGGAACAGGGTATGGGTGTCAGAACAATCAGGGGTCCTCACTAAGCCAAGACTAGAGCTGGAATCAGCCCAGGCACCCCCCCAACCATGTGTCACCCGTAAAAGGGCCTGCAGAGGGCGCTATGCCTCCAGAGGGCTGCTACGCCACCCTGTGCGTGAACCCTGCAAGAGCAGGTGCCAGCATTTCTCCCCCAACCCCAGCACAGCAAGGGGGTCCAGGCAGGGCCTGGACAGCTCTGCTAGGCAGCAAGACACATACACGATTACCTTGGTTGGAGAGGATAGGCTGAGGCAGGGAGGCAGAGGTGGGAGCCATGGTGGGAGGGGAGCTGCTGGGTCTGACACAGGGGGCAGTTGAGAGCCGGGAGTCCTCGCTGACCTGAGGAAGAGTGCTCGAATCAGCCCAGGAGAACAGAAAGTTCAGGAAGAACAGAATGCAACATCCCTGTAACATCCCTCACATCTTAGATGCAACAAGACATCCATCCCATCATGGGATGTAAAGGGATGTGAGGAGGTAGCTCAATTGTTCTCACAAGCAAAGGTGGGGATGAAGACGACCCTGCCTAATCCTCACAGCAGCCCATGCAGCAGGTACTGTAGTCATCTCCACTTTACAGTTCAGAACACAGAGGGCACATGACTTGCCCAAGGTTGCCCAGCCAGGGAGTGATGCAGCAGGATTCAGAGGCCACATGTAAACCCATGTCCCAGTTCCACCAGGAGCCATCTCCTTCCTTCCCACCTTTTTATCTGAGTTGCTCAGTTTGGACTTGACCTCCTTGGCTTTCTGAATTGCTTTCAACACTTCCACAGTGTCCAGCTCCTTCTCTGTGGTCACTGTGTTGTCCAGACAGACCTATAGAGAACCCAGAAAATAGCTATTATTGTGGGAGTTGGCAGCATAGGATGGTGGGGGCTTTGCCAAGGTGTAAGAACCGGCATGGGGCCAGAGGAGGTTCAGCCAGCCCACTGGCTCACCACCCACAGGAAGTGACCTGGGAACTCCTGGAGCAGCCCAGGGAGGTACCACACTGCCCAGTCCATTTAGGAGTCATCCAGGAGGTCAGGCAGCAAGGCCAGGGTCCTCTGGGAAAGCTTCCTGGATGGCTGGGACTGGGGGAAGGTGGTGCCTTAAACTAAGCCCCCAGTTAAAAGCAACTCACATCACCAAAGAACAAGGGGAAGGCTTTCTAGGCAAGGGAACCAGGAGGGCAAAGTTCCTAGAAGCAGGCAGGGATAGAGCACAGGCAGACAACAAGGACAGTAAGCAGTGGGCAGTGGGGGAGGGAAGAACCAGAGGCCTGGAGAAGAGTTTACAGTGCACCATGTGGCCTGGGAGAGAAGGAGGAGACGACATCTGATAGACTGCCTGGGTGACAGTGTGGATAGAGACGGGCACTTGGGCTGAAAAAATATGGGGTGGGGGAAGGGATCCAAATGGATTCCCATGTCTTCTGGCCTGGGATTTGGGGAGAATAGAAGCTGCAAGGCCTGGGTCAGAGAATGGGGATGGGATCTGCTTGAGGCCGAGGGTATGGAATAAACCAAGCAAAGCACCTATTCAGTTGGCCTGGTGGCAGGTGGCCAAGCACACCCAGCAGGTAGGAGACAGCAGACTGGTTTACGCTGGCAAAGGCAGACAAACTTTTTTGGTCTGCCTTTATCATCAGAAGTTATCCAGAGAACAGGGTTATTTAAAATATTTTATTTCTAGCCCTTGCCTATAACAAACAACGTTTCTTTTTTAATAAGTTGAAGACAGTTCCTCCACTATCTGAGTCTGTGCCTGACTGCCTGGGCAGAGGCCTCCTGGTCTGAAGCGCTGGCAGAGCCCACGGGAGGCAACCCCACTGGGGAGCATGCACCGGGGCCCTCAACAGAAGGGGACGAGAGGGGCAAGGGTGCCCTTTTCTGGAGAGGAAGTGAATTTCCCAGAACTGAAGGGAAGGGGTTGCCCTTCTGAAGCAGGAATGGATAGAACAGTGTACGTCACTCCAGCTCTGTATACCAAAAGCCAGATAAAGACACAACCCAAGGACAAAAACTACAAGAGCCCGCTTATGTAAAACATTCAGAATGCAGACAGGGACACAGTCCAGACACTCCCAGGAGCTGAAGTCTCTTGTGGCTGCTCGGACAAGCTGCCTTCCCAAGCCCAGAGTGTCCTAACCAGCAGCTTACCTCGGAGGCCCGCTCCCCAAACTGGGCGAGCACCTTGGTCCGGTAGTCTGGGATGATGCTCAGAGGATTGTTCAGCAGGGCCACGTGCTCCAGACATGGGAGGCTGCCTATGTTCCTGACTTCCTCCATCTGCAAGGCACGAGTGCCATTCCCCTTGGTCCCTTCTTAACACTTCAGCAACACGACAACACGTTTGATGGCCTCTTTTAAATGAAAGGAAGCTTAACATCCTTCTTTAAAATAATCACGCCAAGGCATAGAAAGCCCAGAAACCCTGAGGTGCTCCTGGGATGCGGCTCACCTGTTCAATATGGTTGTCACAGAGATCCAGGTTCACCAGTGAGTAGAGCTTGTGGAGGCCACTTAGACTCTCCAGGAGGTTACCCGCCAAGTTCAGGGTCTTAATGTTGCCCAGTTTGGTGTGAACCCCTTCCAAGGAGGAGAGTTTGTTGTAGGATAGGTCCAGGTGGACGAGGTTGTATAGGTGCTGCAGCAGCATCAAGAACAGGGTAAAAAGACTCAGGTTAAGTCTCCAAAGAAAGGGAGCAACATTAACAGTGGGATGGACCTTCTAACCTAAAATAACCAATTCTGCACGTCAGTGCCATTAACTCAGATGGGCATCTGGAAGGGAAGCTCTCTCCTGCACACCCACAGCCCAGGGGCCCCTTTCCCCCTGCAGAGGCAACAAAGTCCAGTTATGGGTGAGCTGTGAAAACCAAGCTGTCCATTTCATAAAGGAGACAAACTATCTTCATCATGCCTGATTTGTGTTTACTCATCCTTTCTAATGCTTTGGAACTAGAGCAACAGCCACGGGACCCTAATGAGCAGGTAGCACTCTCTGCACTTAAAAACGCCTGGTGCACCCACATACTCTTTCAATGTCTGTGAGAGCAAACCCCCGGGGTATGACCAACTCCCTAAGGCTGCAAGAGTACCGTGAACTTTCAGGCTAATGGGGCCTTGTGAAAAGCCTGTAGGCAGCGCTGGTCTCCAATGACATTACCTGCAGGTTGTCCACAACCAGCACTCCATTGTGACTCAGGTCCAGAAACTCAATCTTTGGAATCAGTTTCTTGTAAAAGAGAAAACCACATAGGATGTTACTCTCAGAGATTGAGGCCTGTGTAGTCCTCACATGGTGGACAGACCCCCCCATCACCTTCTTCCTTCTGACCACAGATTGCTGGGCTGGCCAGCTCTGCTGGTCACCGATATGATGTCTCCCATGGGCCCACACAATAGCACATCTAAAGGACACACAGGGACTCTAGTGTGAGTTTTTACTGAACACTTGGCTTGAAAAATGACAAAAGATACAGTCCCATACAGAGAAGGGATTCTATCCTTCTTCTTCAACGTGACCACTGCTAGAGAAGTACAGACATGGGAACCACACACCTGTCCCTCAAACACCATCTGGATATTACTCCCATTTATCATCTATGGAGTGATTTCTCCACTTCCACTATTTGGGAGTAAAGCTCATCATCTACCATGTTTTTATATCAAATGTACATGCAATCAATGTGCTTGGTTTGGTTTTAGGTACTGTCTCACCCATTTTAAATAATCCCATTTGGAAATTAACTTAGAAAATTGTAGGCAGAGCACTGGACCTAAATTTTCCGTAGTTGTTCCAGGAAAAAAAAAAAATGAGAAGTATAAATATACAAATGTATAAAAAATTATGCATTTAATTCAAGATATTATGATGACTTGATGTTACCAAAAAAAAAAAAAAAAACTCCCAGAAGCCCCTTGCACCTGCCGCTGACAGCGTACCACAGACTCGTCGATCTCAGAGATGCTGTTGTGGCTCAGGTCAAGAGTGGTCAGGGCTTGCCATGTGGGGATGATGGCAGTCACAGGACCCTCCAGGGCTGTGCCTTCTGGCTCCCACTCATCAAATTCTGACGCTTCGGGAACAAGGACTTCCTGTGTAAGAACATCTGTTGAGCACTACATTGGGGCCCTCACGCAACACTCCCCGGGAACACAATCATTGCAAAATTTAAGGAAGGGCTTCAGCATATTTAGCATGTGGAAGTGAACTTGCATTAAAATGGGGCTTTGGTTCTTATGTCTTTCAATGATTGTGAAATAACTGAAAAGCTCAGCAACATAACAGCCACTTGGAATATGCCCTGCTTCAAGAGCAAACGTTTTTCAAGCCCACAAGAGCCTTTAGCTAGGTAGTGATGCCTTTTCTGATTTAAATCTCTGAAGCTGAAGGTCAGAATTCATGGTGTTTCTAGGCAACTGTGCTTTCCAAGCTGGCAATGCCAGTCCCCACTATGGACAGCAGGCACTTTTTAACTGTTACTTCACAGGATTAGGTGTTCCTGGGTAATGCAAACGGTAAAGGTGCTTGGGTGCTAACTGAAAGGTTGGTAGGTTGAGTCCACCCAGAGGTATCTTGGAAGACAGAACTGGCAATCTACTCGCAAAACATCAGCCACTGAAATTCCTATGGGTGACAACAGCAACTTGAAAGATAAGACAGGAACTTAGGGGGCAGTGGACAACTTAACAGGGGAGGAGTAACTTAGGAAAGAACAGTGAGGATGGTTGCACAATTTGAAGGATATAATCAATGTCACTGAACTGTATGTGTTCAGTCGCACTGATGTATGCTCTGCTATGTATATTCTCAAAAATAACAACAAAATACATAAAAGTTAGAAATAGAATTTAAAAAAGTTAGAAATATAGTAAAAAAGCTCCACTGTTCTCTGACACACATGGGGTCACTATGAATCAGGGTGAACTCGACAACAACTGCTTTTGGTTTCCAAGGGTTAAAATCTAACATGGTAAACGAGGGTTCCAAAAAGGAGCACAGGGATACCACAAAAGTGAGTGGAAGAGGCACACTTCCTTGTTTGGACTTTTCATGCCCACAAGACCTCTCCTCTCTCAGTGGATCCTCTTGTGCCCATTCAGCCAGGCAGCAGGGAGTGCTTCGGGAGAGTGCTTTGGTCAGGTAGCCTGACCTCCCACCACATCCACACCTACATGACATAAGCCTGCTTCTCTCAGCCAGCGGACTGAAGAGAAAAAAGATTTCATACATTATAAGTCACTACATACATGCAGATTTTAACATTACCAAGATACAATCCACAAAAAGGTTCAAAAAAACCCAAAAAACCTTGTATTTTCAATTCAAATATTTCTGTTGCTCACACACAAAAAACATTCTGCAACCTCATCTGTTCTATTTCAAGTTTACAGAGATACAAGTGCTAAGTCAAGGTTTTTTAAGCTTAGAGAACATTTGTATCAATCTAAACAATAAATGTCCTGCCATTTACCAATGCTTAACAACTGCTTCATAAAAAACTAGAGACTCTTTTTTCTACTCTAAACCAAAAAACCAAACTCACTTCCATCAGTCGATTCTGACTCATAGCGACCCCCAATGGGTTTCCAAGGTGGTAAATTGCCCTGTCTTCCTTCTGCAGAGAGGCTGGTGGATTTGAACCTCCAATCTTCTAGTTAGCAGTCAAATGCCTTATGCACTGTGCCACTGGTGCTCCTTTTTCTACTCTAGTGGGGAAAAATACCCAATTCCTTAAAATGTTTTGTTTGTTTAAAAACATCTGGTTGACTCTGGATGAAGACGTGGACTATAGCGTTCCAGGGACTTGTCGAGTGCAAGATGTTTTGTACAAGTGTGCAGCTGCCAGGGAAGCCTTTGGCTACTGACAGAAAACAGCAGTGTCCATACCCATCCTCGGGAGGGGACTACGACCTGGGTATCTAGACCCTCACATGGTGTCCCAGGCAGGAAATAGCTGGCACTCACCTTCATAGAGGTTGCTGAGAAGCGGACGCTCATTGTGGCTAAGGTAGGCTTAGATGCAACGAGCCCCCGGATGTGCTTAGCATCACAGTGACTTATCTGGAACAAGAAACAGCAGCTAAGGCATCCTTGGTCCATCAGGAATCCCCGGAGGCAGATGCTCGTTAACCGATAAAATAATCAGCAGCCCGAGGCCTTAGAAGCAGGAGACAACTCAAAACCTAAGTCTTTTTCCCAATTTAACTGCTAAATATTCTCTCAATTATCTAGTAGGAAAAGCATCGATCTTCTCAGATTCACAATGAACCATGAACTCCATTTTCTCTGTAGGGGCTGCTTGGGGCTTGATACAAAGCAGGGCCACAAAAATGAGAGCTAGAGAGCAAGGGGCCACCGCCATGCAGGGAGAATAGTGGCCCCACCTGCTCATTCAGCCCCCACTTCACTGACTTCTGCAGTCCTGTGGCGAGCAAGAAAGGCAAGTATAGGCTACCACACCTCCCACAAGCCACCTACCTGGGTGCTACATACACATCCACAGCCTCAGAGCCTCTGCCTGCCAAACCAGGCTGGGTGGGGCTTTCCTCTAATTCCTAGCCCTTACTCAGCCAGCAGGAGGCAGGACACACACCAAAAGTGCCCATCAAGGGAAATCAAGCCTAGAATGTTGTGGACAGAACAGTCTAGGGCTCTAGAGTCAGACTCAGCTTAATTCGAATCTAGCTTCTTCCTCATGAACTGTTTGATCCCAGCCAAACTTCCTTACCTCCCTCAGCCTCAGTTTCCTCAACAGCAAAATTAGAAGAGAAGTGCCCACTTCACAGGGTTGTTGGGAAGATTCAGTCAAGGTAAATACACTGGCCATGAGGAAAAGGGCTTAGTGTTCAAAAAACATGGTCAAAAAACAGACACTTTCAAACATTTTTTATTATTCATTACTGAGTCTTTAATAAAACAGGTATCACGAACCAAGGAGTTTAGTAGTAAGTAATGCAAAAATATTTATTAAGTGTGGGCACCTGAGAGGGCAGAGAACCCCCAAAATCCCTTAGCTGTTATGTCTCAGAAAACATATTTAGAATTGGCTCTGTTTGACTCTGATGACTTCCTGGAACTTCAACTCAAAAACCAGCTCCTTGACTCCACATTGAGGTCCAGAAAGAGCCAAGTTCTGGTGCTCTGCCCTGTCCCAATGTCTCCTGCTGCCAGGCCAGGGCACAGGCACACAGCTCCAGCCAAGAGCAGGAGAGGGCCCTCTTCCTCTGCCTCCAGATGGGCCTGACTTACCTGGACGGGGTATGCCACAAACGGCCAATGTGAACACACCAGCGCCTTACAATTAACACTGGACTGTGACATCTAAAACAGTCCTGAGCCACAGTCTCAAGTAGGACGCCGCCTGTGCAGGGCTCAACCCTGCCTGAACGCAAAGGGCCCAGGCCTTACCTCTACCTGATGAAGAGACTTGAATATCGACAGGTCGAAAGGCAGCAGCTGCTCCTGAATGTTGCTGGTCCCAAAAGGTCCTTCCGTCCCAGAAACCTGCCACCACAGATCCGGCTTGAGTTAGGGCTGCTACCGCAACCCCTCCCTGTCCATACTCCCAGGGCAGTGCTGCAGCAGCTGCCAAACTGACTTGCTGTGAGGCACAGGGGGTATACACCCACTCAACACATCTACAGTCAACAAGTTGAAGAAAGCTGAGGCCTAAAGCAAAGACTGCCCCTGGTGTTAAGAACCAAAAGCACAAGCTCAAGAACACCAAAGATGGCCTTCCTTCCCTGAAGAGGCCTGCCCTCTCCCGACGCCCTTTTGCCTGTCTCCGTTACGTACACTGTCAGGGCCCCCGCTGGCTGCATGCCCACCCATTCTCTACAACTGACTCGCTGTGGCTTTACCTTAAGGTACTTAAGGCGACAAGTGAAGTCCAGGACGTGCCCAAGGTCAGTTTTGGCATCCCCACTGGCGCACGTGGGCTTTCCTTGCTGCAGCTGCTCAGTGACCGCATACAGCTGCAATGGCCTGATGGCAAAGACCTCACCGGCCCCCAGAAGCTGTTCTCCTGCAAATCCATGCCCCTTGGGCTGAGCAATGGCCCACTGCCATCCTGCAGCCAGGGCGTCTGCTGCCCTGCCAACAGTCAACCAGCACCCAGCAAGCACCCATTACGTGTACTGCACCAAGTGAGCAAAGCCATGGCCCTGGGCACACAGGACCAGCTAGCTGCCCTCTGGAGCTCCCGTGGGGTATAGGGCGGACCCTGCACACGTCCTTATAGAGGAGGAAAGGGCTTTGGGAATGTATGGCTAGGGGGTTCCCCAAGGAGGTGAGGGCAAGTCAAGATTGGAAGTACTGAGCTGGAGTAAGGCCAATGAGGAGCAGGATTCTGGGGGACAGACCTACGTGACAACCTCCTAACTACAGACATTTTCAGGTGAGGTGCAGGCCTAGTATGCCAGAAGTGCAAGGTTCTGGCATTCAGTCCTAGCTCTGCCCCTTTTGGCCACATGACCTCAAGCAGGTTCCTGAGTCTCTGATACCCAGTGTCCACATCTGTGCCTATGGCTCTTGGGGGAAGGCAGCAAAATGATGAGTACAAGGCTGCATCACAGGAAGGGACCAACACATGTCAGCTACTATTCCTATAATCTCTGACAAGGCTGCCTTCTATTTGCTACCTAAACCCTTCAGGTAGGGACAGAAAAGCTGCAAGAGGGCAGCATGCCACTCACCTTCCAGAACCCCACTGCGGGACTCTGGAAGAGATCCTGAGCCTGGGGCTAGCCCTAAGGTGTAGAAGTATCACAGTTCTTCTTGGCTTCCTACAGGGCAGGACCCACAGATCAGGGATGTGGGCAATCCCAAGGAGGTGGGCCCTGGTTAGGACTCACTTGTCACACCTTGACAGGAGGAGTTATATGCCACCTGGGCCCCTAGCAGCCTAGTAGGGCTGGGAAGTTCCACCCAGTATTTCAGCGACTTCTGATCACATACCTTTTTCAAAGAGCTCCTCAGCCAGTGCTGCAGTGATGCCATTTATCTCCTACAGATAAAACAAAGCCTGCAGTTAGAAAGTTCACTTGCCCAGAATTTGCACCTCGCCTACCATCTGCCCCTACTGCTGTTGCAAAGCAGCTCTCCAGAAAGTTAAAAACAAAATAAAGCAGAGAGTAAAACTGTACAACTGCAGGGACAGAGCGAGGAAGCAGAGGCAAGGACCCAGGTAAGGCTGGGGATCCAGGCCATAGCTCTCCCAAGCAGCAGAAAGCAGAGAAAAAGCCGTGTGTGTCTGGGGGGAGGGGGGGGGGACAGGACGGGACGGGGACCACGATAGAGTGAACAAGCAGAGGCAGGGAGTCCAGTAAGGCCTGGAAACCCTCCCGAACAGTGGGAAAGTGGCAGGGATCTATGTAAGGGGAGGGTGGGGAGGGTGGAGAAGTTTTGAACAGCTAAGGGAGACAAACTTGTCTGTCAGTTTGTCCTACTGTGGTGATGTGTTGCTATGAGGCTTGAGGCTGTGCCACCGGTGTCTCAAACCCAGTAGGGTTGCATATGGTGCACAAGTTTCAACAGCTTACAGACTAGGGAGAAGGAGGAGGCCATTCACTTCACAAAGAATTGGCCAAGGAAAACCTTATGAATAGCAGAGAAACAGTTTGATACATTACTGTGTGTTCTGGTTACCTAGTGCCACTCTGACAAGAATATACCACAAATGGGATGGCCTTAACAAACAGGAGTTTATTCTTAAAATTTGGAGGCTTTCTTTAAGTCCAAGTTCAAAGTGCCAGGCTCTAGGGGATGGGTGAAAGCCCCTCAACCTTGGGGTCCAGCTCTGCCTCCTGCTCCTGGACCACTGGAGCTAGAGGCGTTTCTTCACTCAGACAGCTGCTGGCTGCTGAGGCTGAGAAGCCCCAAGGTTGACAAGTAAAAAGGCACAGTCCTGATGTTACCAAACCACACAGCAGGCCATTAACTTAAGTCCATTGTATGTCCCAAGGTCAGCAGAGCGTAACAGGCTGCTGAGCACGACATGGCTACATGCAGGGTCCAAGTGTGCCATAGGCTGGAGACCATTCCCAAGGCTTCTCCTTATATACAGGAAGCAAACCATATCCCAAAGGCAGCTATTCAGCTGCTTGTGGTAGATCCCACCATGGAGGTAACTGCCAGTCTCATCATGGGGAATAACTACCACCAGCTGTCCAGCCACTCTACCAGACCCAGCCAAGTTGACACACAAACATAACCACCACACTGTGCAACTTTATGAACAGCCTGGAAACATTATCTGATTTAGTGCAGGAGGATAAGTCACTTAGGTCAGAAGGCTCTCAAAACAGGACCAGGGAAGAGCAGCATCAGAGTAGAACTAGCCTTCATGGTATGGATAAGGTATAGCTTTCGAGACCTCCATTTGCTGACGTGGCATGACTCAAATTGAGGACAAACAGCTGCAAACATCCATTAATAACTGGAACATGGAATGTACGAAGCATTATTGAGGAATATTGGAAGTTGTCAAAAATGAAATGGAGAGCATAAAGATTAATATCCTAGGCATTAGTGAGCTGAAATGGACTGGTTTCAGCCATTTTGAATCAGACCACCATGTGGTCTACTATGTTGGGAAGGACAATTTGAAGACAAATGGTGTGGCATTCATCATCACAAAGGATGTTTCAAGATCTGTCCTGAAGTACAATGCTGTCAGTGATAGGATAATATCTATATGCCTACAAGGAAGACCAGTTAATACAACTACTATTCAAATTTATGCAACAACTATCATAGCCAAAGATGAGGAAACTGAAGATTTTTATCAGCTCCTGCAGTCTGAAATTGAACGAACATGCAATCAAGATGCGTTAATTATCACTGGTGACTGGAATGCAAGAGTCAGAAACAAAGAAGAATCACTGGTAGTTGGAAAATTTGGCCTTGGTGACAGAAATGATGCTGGAAATCGCATGATAGAATTTTGTAAGACCAATGACTTATTCACTGCAAATACCTTTTTTCAACAACACAAATGGCACCTATACACGTGGACTTCACCAGATGGAATACACAGGAATCAGACTGACTACTTCTGTGGTAAGAAGCTATGGAAAAGCTCAGTATCTTCAGCCAAAACCAAGCCAAGAGTTGATTGTGGAACAGGCCATCAACTGCTCATATGCAAGTTCAACTTGAAGTTAAAGACAGTTAAAACAAGTCCACGAGAGGCAAAATATGATCTTGAATATATCCCTCCTGAATTTAGAGACCATCTAAAGAAAAGATTTGATACACTGAACACCAATGACCAAAAACCAGAAGAATTGTGGGATGACATCAAGAACATCATCTATGAAGAAAGCAAGAGGCCAGTCACTAAAAAGATGAGAAAAGACCAAAATGGAGACAGAAGAGACTCTGAAACTTGCCCTTGAGCAGAGAATAGGTAAAGCAAATGGAAGAAATGACAAGATAAAAGAGCTGAACAGAAGATTTCAAAGAGCAGCTAGAGCAGACAAAGCCAATCACTATAATGAAATGTGCAAAGACTTGTAGTTAGAAAACCAAATGGGAAGAACATACTTGGCATTTCTCAAGCGGAAAGAACTGAGGAAAATATTTAAGCCTGAAGTTGCAATACTGAAAGATTCTATGGGCAAAATATTGAATGATGCAGGAAACATCAAAAGAAGATGGAAGGAAAAAAAAAAGAAGATGGAAGGAATACACAGAGTCACTGTACCAAAATGAACTGGTAGATCTTCATCCATTTCAGGAAGTGGCATATGATCTAGAACCAATGGTACTAAAGGAAAAAAATCGAAGCCGCAATGAAGGAACTGGCGAAGAACAAGGCTCCAGGAATTGACGGAATACTCACTGAGATATTTCAACAAACAGATGTCCCACTGGAGGCACTCACTTGGTTATGCCAAGAGATTTGGAAGACAGCTACCTGGCCAACTGACTGGAAGAGATCCATATTTGTACCCATTCCAAAGAAAAGTGATCCCACAGAATGTGGAAATTATCGAATAATATCATTAATATTGCAGGCAAGTAAGTTCTTACTGAAGATAATTCAAAAACGGTTGCAGCAGTATATTGACAGAGAACTTCCAGAGGTGCAAGCTGGATTCAAAAGAGGATGTGGAATAAGAGATATCATAGCTGCTGTCAGATGGATCCTGGCTCAAAAAGCATCAGAAAGATGCTTACTTGTGTTTTATTGACTATGCAAAGGCATTTGATTGTGTAGACCATAACAAATTGTGGATGACATTGAGAAGAATGGGAATTCCAGAACACTTGATTGTGCTCATGAGGAACCTATACATAGACTAAGGGGTTACTGTTCAAACAGAACAAGGGGACACTGCATGGTTTAAAATCAAGAAGGGTTGTATCCTTTCCTCATACTTACTCAATCTGTATGCCCAGCAAATAATCCGAGAAGCTGGACTATATGAAGAAGAGAGTGGCATCAAGATTGGAGGAAGACTCATTAACAACCTGCGACACGCTGACAACACAACTTTGCTTGCTGAAAGGGAGGATGACTTGAGGCACTTACTGATGAAGACTGAAGAATACAGGCTACAGTATGGATTACATCTCAATACAAAGAAAACAAAAATCCTCACAACTGGACCTATAAGCAGCATCATGATAAATGGAGAAAAGATTGAAGTTGTCAAAGACTTCACACTGCTTGGTTCTACAATCAATGCCAATGGAAGCAGCAGTCAGGACATTAGACAATGTACAGCACTGGGCAAGTTGGCCGCAAGGGACCTCTTTCAAGTGCTAAGGAGCAAGGATGTCTCCTTGAGGACTATGGTGTGCCTGACACAAGCCATGATATTTTCAATCACCTCGTATGCATGTGAGAGCTGGATAATGAATAAGGAAGACCGAAGAAGAACTGATGCTTTTGAGTTGTGCTGGCGAACCATGCACTGCTAAAAGAACTAACAGATCTGTCCTGGAGGAAGTGCAGCTGGAATGCTCCTTGGAAGTGAGACTGGCCAGACTTTACTACTTTGGTCATGTTGTCAGAAGGGACCATTCCCTGGAGAAGGATCTCATGCGTGGTAAGGTGGAGGGTCAATGAAAGAGGGGAAGGCCTTCAATGAGATGGATCGACACAGTGGCTACTTCGATGGGCTCAAATATAGCAAGGATCAAGGAGCTGGCACGGGACCAGGCGGTGTTTCATTCTGCCACGCATAGGGTCGCTGAGTTGGATGACTCGATGGCACCTAACAACAGCAACAGGAACAACAAAACTATAATGAACCAAGAAGCTTAGACTGGGAAGCTAAGTATTTCTATTTATATGGACACCTGAAAAAGCTCCTCAAAAACAGGAGAATCTATCTAGACTAATGCTGCAATTCCAAGCCCATGTGGGCACTGGCTGAGGGCACATCGCCCAGGAGGCTGCAAAGCCTGGCCAAGCCAAGGGTTAGGTAAGAAGCGGCAGCCCCCAAAACTGGCCCTGGAAGTGGGAGGGGCAGAGATGAAGTCCTGTTTCTTTTGGAAGAAGGTTCCTATCATCCCAGTGGGATGTGGGATGAAGAACCTCCTCCAGCCAGCCTCCCTAAGAGTGTGGCCACAGTCAGTTTCTCTAAAGTTCCAAATGTCTCTCAGAAAAGAACATTTGTTCTCTTCCTGTACTTATTCCTTTCAGCTTTGCAACAGTAAGGCTCAGTCAGTCCCAGGGTCACAAGAGTTGGAAAAGGAAGCTATCACTTTTAGTAGTATTTTTTTAATTGTGAAAGTTTACAGAGCAAATTCATTTTCCACTCAGTTCATACACCTTTTCTTTCATGACACTGACTACAACCCCCTATACTGTAACAGTTCTCTTCCCACTTCCTCCCTGTGGTTATCTTTTCCCTGTGTCCTACTTTCCTACGTACTCCTGCCCTCTGAGCTATGTCCCTGTATAAATGCTGTCCTTCTGATCTCCCATGGATGACTGTTCTAAAGAGTGTACCTATCTGGTGTAACTGTTCACTTTGCAGACCTGTTTATTGT